TGCTGGGCCTGGTGTCAGGAAGCTTGAGTTCAAATCCAGCTTCAAACACTTAATAGATGTGTGACCTTGGAAAAATCATTTAATCATCTTTGCCTCAGTTTCCTCATCTGTAGAATGAGCTGCACAAGGAAATGGCAAACCACTCCAGTATCTTTGCCAAGAAAACCCCTAAAAGGGATTATGAAGTATTGAACACAACTGAAAATGTCTGAACAAGAAGAAAAATTTGGTTTTCTCCTTTCTTTTTTAAAATCCAATTAACCAATGTTTTCTCTATTTTTTTCATAAAATAAGCTCCTATTTTATTTACTAGTTCAATGTTTTTTTTTTCCCCTTTCAATTTTATTAATCTCTTTTTTGATTTTCAGGATTTCTAATTTTGTGTTTAAAATTTTCCAGTTTTATTTTAGTTGCATGCCCAATTCATTGATCTGCTCTTTCTCTATTTTATTGATGTAAGCATTTAGAAATTTAAATTTTCTTCTTAGTAATGCTTTGGCTGCATCCAATAAATTTTGGCATGTTGTCTCATTTTTGTCATTCTCTTTAATGAAATTACTGATTTTTTCTATGATTTGTTCTTTGACCCATTCATTCTTTAGGATTTGACTAGTTAGTTTCCAACGAATTGTAATCTATATATTCACAGCCCTTTATTGAATGTAATTTTTATGGCATTATGATTTTAAAAGGATGCACTTAATATTTCTACTTTTCTGCATTTGATTGGAAGGTTTTTATTTCCTAATACATGATCAATTTTTGTGTACATCCTATGTACTGCTAAGAAAAAGGTATATACCTTTCTATTTTTGTTCCATTTTCTCCAGAGGTCTCTCATATTGTTATCATATTAGATTTTATATATCTATCTAATATCTATCATTTTAAGTTTTCTAAAATCCTCTGTCTCCTTAACTTCTTGTTTATTTATGGTTACATTTGTCTAGTTCTGAGAAGGGAAGGTTGAGGTCCCTCACCAGGAAAGTTTTACTATTTCCTCCTGTAACTCATTTAACTTTTCTTTTAAGAATTGGGATGCTATACCATTTGGTGCATATATATTTAGGATTGCTATTACTTCATTGTCTGATACCTTTTAGCAGAATGTAGTTTCCCTGCCTATCCCTTTTAATTAGATCTATTTTACTTTTACTTTGTCTGAGATCATGATTGTTAGCCTTGCTTTTTCTCCCCTTAGCTGAAGTGTAATAGATTCTACTGCAGCCTTTTACCTTTATTCTGTGTCTCTTTGCTTCAGGTGTGTTTCTTGCAAACAACACATTGTTAGATTCTGGTTTTTAATCCACTCTGCTACCTTCTTCTGTTTTACGAGTGAGTTCATCCCATTCACATTCACAGTTATGATTATTATGTTTTTCCTTCCATCCTATATCTCCCCCACTTGTTTATCCTTCTTTCTCTCTTCTTTCACCCTGTACCTCGTCAAAAGTCTGTTTTGTTTCTTATTACCACCTCCCCCAATTTCTCCTCCCTTCTATGAGCCTCTCCCCCTTCTCTTATCCTATTCCCCTCCTACTTCCCTGTAGGACAAGATAGATTTCTATACTCAATGGAATGTGTATGTTACTTCCTTTTTGAGCTAGTTCCAATGAGAGTAAAGGCATTGACCCTAACATTCCCACCCCCACCATCTGTCTCCTCACTTTAAAAGTTCTTCCTTTCCTGTCTTTTTTATGTGAGATAATCTACCCATTCTGTCTCTTTTCCTTTTTCTCACCCAGTTCATTGTATTTTTAAAAATCATCCCATCATAGTCAATTCACCTCCCTGTTCTCTGTCTATGAAGATTCCTTCTAACTGACCTAATAATCACAAAGTTCTTAGAAGTTGCAAGTATCATCTTTCCATGTAGGAATGTAAACAGTTTAACCTTGTTGAAGCCCTTATGATTTCTCTTTTCTCTTTACTTTTTTAGGCTTCTCTTGACACTGGTATTTGAAAGTCAGATTTTCCATTCCGCTGCTTGAAAGTCCTCTATTTAATTAAATATTCTTTTTTTTTTCTCCCTGAAGGATTATTATACTCAGTTTTTCCAGGTAGGAGATGCTTGGTTGTAATCCTTTCTCCTTTGCAATCTAGACTGTCACATTCTGATCTTCTTATGAAAAAGCTGCTAAATTTTCTGTGATCTAGACTGTAGCTCCACAATATTTGAATTGTTTCTTTATGGTTGCTTGCAGGTTTTCTCATTGACTTGGGAGCTCTGGAATTTTGCTATAATATTCCTGGGAGGTTGCATTTTGGGGATCTCTTTCAGGAGGTGAGGGCTACCAACCACTTTTACTGCAGCCAAAGATCTGAACTCTTGGGGCCACAATCCCATCCTTACTTCGTAGGCTACTGTTGCTCCAGTCAAAAGACAGGAGTTTTCAGACAAGCTCCCAGCTGGAAAGGCCTCTGCCAAGATTAACCAGAAGGTGGTTTCTTTTTTTCCCCTACTTAATAATATTTTATTTTTTTTTCCAGTTACATACAAAGATAGTTTTCAGCTTTCACTTTTATAAGATTTTGGGTTCCAAATTTTTTTTCTCCCTCCCTCTCCTCTCTCTTCCCCAAGATGGCAAGCAATCTGATACTTTACACATGTACAATCATGTTAAACATATTTCCTTTGTCCTTCATTCTCAAAGAGGAACATGATATCAGGGACATGATGCCATGACATGCAAGTGAATTGATTTAAATGAAGAAGGGCTGTGCAGAGTCACCAGCCTCACTTTCTCCTCCAGAGCCATCTGGGTCCAGTGGCAAGAAATGATCAGGACAACTGGAGATGGCCCTGGATGCAATGGGAGACATTGGCTTTTTTAAGCTAAAGTCTTTAACGGGTCTCAGTTTGACTCCTTGAGATAGTAGAAGCTGAAACCTCAGGAGTCACATTTCCAGCTCTTGCTACATCCTACTTGCTTCACACCACTTAAGCAAACGCACAGCTTCAGTACTCCCTGGCAAACAAGAACATCCCAAAATTTGGGAACTCAAGTGAAATTCCTTAGCTCAGTCACCAAATCCAACAGTAATGGAAAGTCATTCCATAAGACACCCTCCTAGAATGAATCACTACAAGCATATAGTTGATTCTCAATTATCAGAGAGTACATCAGCAGGGGGGTCGGGTGGGAAGCATTTATTTCCTTTCTACTACCCACCCAGATCTCAGGGTTATCAGGGACCTTAAAATGCCAGCTCACAACTATCATTCTTGACAAGTGACTAGATCACAGGGCTACCTGCCCTTACTGTAGCAGGTTTGGGAATTAGCTTTCCTTGCTGGCTAATGATGAGAAAAGAATCAGAACAAAAGGGAAAAAACACGAGAAAGAAAAAACAAAAACAAAAAAGAAAAAATAGTATGTTTTGATCTGCATTCAGAGTCTATAGTTCTTTCTCTGGATGTGGACAGCATTTCACATCATGAGTCTTTTGGAGTTGTCTTAGATCCTTGCACTGCTGAGAAAAGTCAAGTCTATCAAAGCTGATCATTGCACAACGTGACTGTTACTGTGTACAAAGTCCTCTTGGTTCTGCTCACTTCATTCAGCATCAGACCATACAAGTCTTTCCAGGTTTTTCTGAAGTCGGCCTGCTCATCATTTCTTATAGTACAATAGTATTCCATTACATTCATGTACCACAACTTGTTCAGCCATTCCCCAATTGATGGGCATCCCCTCCATTTCCAATTCTTTGCCACCACAAAAAGAGCTGCTCTAAACATTTTTGTATGGGTGGGTCCTTTTCCCATTTGTATGATCTTTGGGATACAGACCTAGCAGTGGCATTGCTGGATCAAAGGGTATTTACAGTTTTGTAGTTGCAAATTGCTCTCCAGAATGATTGGATTGATTCACAACTCCACCAACAATGCATCAGTGTTCCAGTTTTGGGAAGAAGATATCTGAACACACCAACAGGATGACTACGCAATCATTTCTATGATGCAGAGCCCAGTGTGCTCAGCTGGGAACATCTCAGCCATTTATCAAAACCTTGAAGCCCCCTCTGCAGTCCAGCCTGGGACACTTACGGGGGCAGAATCCAAGGAAAGCCCCCTTCCCTCCATGTACCCCAGGCTGGTCAAGTGCCAGAGACATCCTAGGATTTGTTTTATTTGCAGGATGTAGAGAGACAAGCGCTTTAAATACTGGAAAGCTGAAAAAAGGACCCCAAGACTGGCCATGGGAACATAGGATTGCCCCTGAAACCTGCCCGGCACCAAGTCTGACTTGAGCAGGCAGGAGCCCTGAATGTTGTGATCAGGCTGTGAATCCTGGGGGACAAGGTGGGAACCCTTAGTAGGGATGGCATCAAGGTCAGGAGGCTGAGGATGGGCATGGGTGGCAGCAGGCGGCAGTGTGAGGCAACAAGTGTGCCTCAGTTTCCCCTCTGTGCAAGGGCTGTGGTGAGGTTCCAAGGACACAGGGCGTGTAGGGAGCTTGGCAAACCAATCCAATGACCAGCAACTCTTCTGGGAAGGAGGGACGAGGATCCCACCCACCTGGGGGGAGGGGCAGGTCTGGGGAGGTCAGGGGTCATTCCTTCCTCTGCTGTCTTCCCCATCTTGGGGAAGGCAAGGGCCTCTCCTCGGGAGGCATCTGGGAAGGGGGTGCTCCCCCCGGGGCTATCTCGGAGAGACCTCGGAGAGAGATGCGGAGGGGCCCGAAGGGGCTGGCGGTGACCCCGGGGCAGCCCTGGGCCCATTTCCCGGAGCTGGAGACTGAGTCTACTGCGCCTCCTCCAGCATCCCGGGGACGGCCCCACGTGACAGGGAGGACCTGGCTCAGGACGGCCGGATGGGGGGGTGGGAAAGAGTGAAAGCCAGGGGAGCGGCGGCGCCGCTGATTGGCTCAAAGTTCTAGGCTTCGCCAGGAGGGAGGAGCAATCTCCAGCTCCTCAGAAACTGGGAGGAGGGGGCGTGGCCTCGGAAAAGAGAAGGGCACGCCCCCTAGGCGGGGGCAATCGGGGCCTCCCTCGCCGAAGAAGAGACTGCGCAGACCCGGTAGTTGCTTTCCCACCTGCGTCTGGAAGCCCCGGGAAGGCTGCGCTAGTCCTGGGTCCCGGCGAGGTGAGGGGCGGGGACCGGGACCGGATGGGAGGCCAGGGGCGGGGCGGGCGCCCAGGATCCCCGCCCCTGCCGACTCCTACAGTCAGTTGGCTGGTGTCTGAGATGAGGTGAAGGCTCCAGATCCTGGGCGGGGGTCAGTGAGGAGGGACCGCCCGCCCGCCCCCTCCCCTCCCTTCTGTCTTTCCCTTCTCCCCCCTCACTTCTTTCCTCTCCTTTATTTCCTCCTGTCCCCCCCATGCTGGGCTCTCCTTCCTTCCCCTCTCCCCTCCTGCTCCCCAAATGCCCCCCTCTGACATGGATGTCCTTGGGCTCCCACCCCCCTGCATTTCTAGGGTTCGGACCCCCTGGGAAAGGACCCGCCAGCTCCGGGCCCCCCTCCCCCCAGGTGTCACTGCCCCCTCCCTCATGTGACCCGGCATTTCTCGGGGGGAGGGACACAGTCTGGGCTTTTCTGTCTCCTTGGCATCTCCAGCAGCTAGAGTGCAGCGAGGCATACAGTGGGCGCCTCATCAATGCACGTTGAGTTGACCCGAGTCCTGGACACAGACAAGCCGCCCCCGGGGTCACTGTGGGCAGAGGCAGGTCTGGGGGGAGGGGGAAGGGCCCACCCCCCTCATGGCTGCCTTTTCCTTTCCAGCTCTGCCTCGGGGGGACCCTTTGGGCCTGGGTTCGGGCCAGAGCTGGGAGCAGCAAGGAGCCAGAATGGGCCCCCAGGTCCTCACCGGCAGGCCCCCCCAGGTAAGCAGCATCGTCCTCCTCCCTGCCAGGTGTCTCAGGTCACAGTGTAGACAGGTCCTTGCTCAGTGCTCTCTGTCCTCAGAGCACCTGGGCAGATTCAGTCCCCAGACCACAATGGATCGAGCCCTTCCCAGGTGTCAGGCCCAGGTGAAGCACTAGAGAGAGGCAGAATACAGGCCCTACCCTGGGGGCGCTTAGCCTCAAATGGGGGAGACAAGGGGAGCAGGTGGGAGGCAGCCAGGGAAGCTCCCTGTCTTCCTTCAGGGCCCAACTCCAATCCCCCACCCTCGGTAAAGAGCTTCTCCTGGTCCCCCCTTAATGCCAGTGCCTCCCACAACGCCCTTCCCCGTGGGCCCTTACTTTCCTTGTGGGTCTCATTTGCACATTGCTGTTTTCAGGTTTCTTCCCCACAGACACGATGAGCTCCTTAAGGCAGTACCTGGGTTTTGCCTTTCTTTGTATCCTAGAGCTCAGCACGGTGCCTGGCACCCAGGAGGCACTTAATAAATGCTGGCTCCATTCCTGAATCTACAACAAATAAATAGGACTTTTTAAGCAGGATGCCCCATAGACATCTTCCACTCAGCATCTCCCAGGTAAGTGGAGGATACCACCACCCTCCAGGTCACCCAGGCTGGTAGCGTCATTGTTCCGTTTGAATGTGTCCTCCCTCTCTCAACCCACATATGAGGTCAGCTGCCAACTTGAGTAGTTTCTCTTTCTACACGATCTGGGCACATCCCCTCCCCCTAGTGCAGGCTCTGGCCACCTCACGCCTCTTTGGTCTCTCCCTGCTCCAGTTCTTCCTCCATTGAGCTGCCAGTCATTCTCATTCTCTTTTAGATTCAAACTATTTCATTTAATCACACTATCGTTTTCTTGCTCTCTGGATTGGATTGTTCTGAGTCCCCTTCTCGGCATCTTAAGTCCTGCCATTTTCTATTATATTTTCCAATTTTCCCATTTAAAGTTCACGTTAAATTTCAAGCCATGTGCTTTTACTTACCTCCCGCCATGAAAAGCTGTGTGTTGGACCCTGAAATCTAGTTGAAGATACAAGTCCATTTGGGAGGGGACTGAACTGTGGACAGCGGTGGCCTGGCGGACTGAGCTTTAGATGGAGTCTGGAGGCAGGGATGGGAGCCACAGCTTTGAGCCTGTCTGAACATAAGCAATCCACGAAGCCCTACTTAGTCTCTTTTTGGGGTTTTTTTTTGCCTCATTTTGCTTATCTGTAAAGTAGGGATAAAGAATACTTGCCTTCCCAAGTTGGTCATGAGAAAAGTATTGTCTGGACCAGGGCTCTTAAACTTTTTCCACTCATGAGCCTTTCAGCACTTCTTAAATTGTGGATCTTGACCCTATGGGGTCTTGACCAATGGTTTAAGAAAATGCTGGTCTAGACCTTGTTTATCAGTAGTCAGGCACATGTTGTCCCCCAGTTAGACTTAATTCCTTGTGGGCAGGGGCTGTTTTTGCCCTTCTTTGTGTCTCTGGGGCTTAGCATGGAGCCTGACACAGGGTAAACCCTTCATAAATGTTTGTTGACTTGACAATGACTGTTCACTTGTTACATGATTCAGAATCTGAGGCTTGTAGTAAATATTCCTAAAGATTTGACTTGGAACACTCTGGAAACTGAATATAGTAAGAATCAGTCCTAAATCCTGACCACTTGACTTCCCTTCCCAGGCCCATCTGGGTTGTGGTCCCTGGCCAAGAACAGATTTATTTGTTTCAGGAATCAGTGACATTCAAGGATGTGGCTGTGGACTTCACCTGGGAGGAGTGGGGCTACCTGGACACTTCCCAGAAGGAGCTTTACTGGGAGATGATGCTGGAGAACTACAGGAACCTGGTCAGCCTGGGTAAGGAGGCTCCTCTGGACACTTGGGATCTGCCCCAAAAGGTTGTTTGCTTCCTTCTGCTGGGGCTGGGTCTACTGTTCAGCACTGGTGCGTTGGCCTGTAAGAAGACGAGACCAAAAATACCCAAGCCTTTGTTAATCACAAGGAGGATGAGAGACAGGGTGCTTGTGCTCCCTGGTCCAGCTGAAGGGCTCTTGCTTTTATACTGTGTGATCCTACTCTGGCTCTCTGTTCTTTCAGGCCAGGGAGGCTTTCTAAATTCCCCGGGAAAATATTTAAAGTCCAAGACAGCTCCCAGATACCTCAGTGTTAAATGAACCAAATGAACTCCTTGTCTGTCTGAACCCACCTCCATTCTTTGTCTTGTTCCTGTGTCTTCCCAGGAAAACAAACCAGATCATCCTTCAGATGTTTTCTCTCTGCTCCTCCACGGCCCCCACACTCTCTGGCCCTTCCTAGCTTGCTCCTAGGGGGCTGTGAGGCTTGACTTCTCAAGTGACCCTCCCTCTGCATCACTTTGCCATTTCCCACAACTAGGCCTTGCAGATGCCAACCTGGATATGATCTCTCAGCTGGAGTCAGGGGAAGCGCATGGGATTCCAGTGGGCGGTGTCCTAAGAAGCTGCTGGCCAGGTGAGTGAGTGATCTCCAGCTAGCCGAGTATATGGCACCGCCACTAAGCTGGTGATTCGTCTGTGAACCCTCTAAAAATGGGCGTGCTTATGATCTGCTGGATGACTTTTTTGGTCATGAGCTCTTCTCCCCAGCCATAGATCTTACAGATAATTTCTCCCTACTCCTCCAGTTTGTTTGGAGGATGTCACCTTTCATACTAAAGTCAATTAATATGGATAAATAGAAATGATCAGATTCTGCTTTGTTTCTTTTTAGAATGCAGCTATGTTATTCCACAGTGTGTGGAAACTTGAATTGTTTTAATGTTTTTTGGAAATTAAAGTGGAATTCTTTAGTCTAGGAGCTGTATATATTACTTTCTCTTCTTAGACCCTGTGATCACACTCAAATGACTCTTCTGAGTGTGACATTTAAATGAAAATTTTTTTCTGGAAAGAAAACAAAAACAAAAAAAATCCTCAAGCTGCAATGTTCCTATTGGTGTAGTGGGGCCAGCAGTCGTCCATATTTCCATTGATTGTGGGTTGTCTGCATGGGTTTTGACATATTAATCTAATATAATGTTATTGACATATATGAAAGGATAATCATGGTAAATGCAAGGAAGTTTGAGAAGCCATTAAAATGGACATCAGTTTGGGTGAGAACCATATGTAAATGATTTGTAACAGCCAGAATGTTGGGGGAAATGATACATGGACAAAAACTTGTTCATTGAAGGAAAAGAGGTATTTAGACCTTTTCTTTCTTTCAGCTTGGGATACCAGGCCTCAGACCAAGGAGTCATCTCCAGAGATAAGTATTTCTGTCGAAGACTTATCCCAGCAAACACCCTCATGGGATGATCCACACATCTCCAAGATGGGTAAAGCCTGGGAGTATTATAGCAGGTTAGAGAAAGAGCAGAGCAATGAGGAGAAACATTCTAGACGAAGAAATGTGACTCAAACAGAACCTCCCAATGAAGTGAGAGGCTCTGAATGCAGTAAATACGGCCCAGTCCTTTCTCCACAACAGGATGTCTCTGTACTAATGAATCTCCACAGAGGTGATGGCCAGAGAAGGAGTTTCACCATTTGTTCAAACCAAAGACAGTGTAATCAAGTCCATTTGCAAAAGAAATATTCTGAGGTTAACAAACGTCAGAAAGCCTTCAGTTGTGATTTTGACCCCATTAAAAAATATGGAATTCATGCTGAAGAGAAACTTCATGAAAGTAGGAGTTCTTTCCTCCCAAATAACAAACTTAGTCTATACCAGAGTACTAATGCAGGAAAAAAATGTTATGAATTGACTAAATGTGGGAAGACGTCCTGGCAGAAGGCAGATCTTACACAACACTCTAGTATTCAGAGTAAAAACAAATCTTATAAATGCAATGAATGTGGAAAGGCCTTCCAGCAGAAGATAAGTCTTAATCTACATTATAGAATCCATACTGGAGAGAAACCTTTTGAATGCAGTGATTGTGGAAAGGCCTTCCACCAGAAGATTGATCTTATAAGACACTGTAGGATTCATACTGGAGAGAAACCTTTTAAATGCAATGATTGTGGGAAAGCCTTTCCCCGGAGCACAACCCTAACTCTACATCAGAGAACTCATACCGGAGAGAAACCCTTTGAATGCAATGAATGTGGGAAGGCATTCCGACAAAGCTCTAAACTTTCTCTGCACCAAAGAACTCATACGGGAATAAAACCTCATGAATGCAGTGTTTGTGGGAAGGCATTCTCTCAGAAGTCTGATCTTACTCGTCATGGTAGTATTCATACTGGAGAGAAACTTTATGAATGTAATGAATGTGGAAAAGCCTTCACTCGGAATACAGGCCTTTCATTGCATAAGAGAACACATGTTCAAGCAAAATCTTTTGAATGTAATGATTGTGGGAAGGCATTCTGCCGGATCACAGCACTTACTCAACATTATAGAATTCATGATGGAGAGAAATCTCATTAATAAAATCACTGAAGCAAAACTTTTCTGTGGAAGAGACTCCTTGATAAATTTACTTAATATTGGAAAGGAACCATGGAACTACACAGTGCATGTAAAAAGCCTTTCAGTTAAATGCAGGAAATACAAAACCCAGCAAAGACCACTCCCTGCTCTCAGGGATCTTACAATGTGATAGGAGAGGCAACCTGAAACAAGTTAGGTCCGTAAAGGAGAGATACAGAGCAAAGGGAAGGTCATCTTAGTCACCGGCCCCTGAACTATCGGAAGAGTTCTGTGGAGGGTGGGATGTGACCTCAGACTTCCAGGAGGGCAGGAAGCTGGAAGTGGGAGCATGGGGGTGGGGGGAGAGAGAGAAAGACAGAGTGTTGCAGATATGAATGACATCAAGTGAACACTGAATGGATCGTGAAATGTGTTCAAGGAATGGCAAACCACTCCAGTATCTTTGCCAAAAACAAAAAAAACCAAATAGAGTTGTGAAGAATTGGACAAGACTGCAGAACGAAGCATCCTTAATGTCCCTGGAATTGAGGCCCAAATTGTGAGTGAGAATGTCTTGGTTTCACACTAACCAGATCAGGAGAGAGGATGCCCTTTGTGTTATTATTTCCTATTTATCCTGTATATAGCTTGCCTGTATATATTTGTTTGTGTGTCTTTCCCTTTAGATTTTAAGCTCACTGGGGCCAGATACTGTCATTTGTCTCTTTGTATCCCCCAGTGACTGAGATACAGTGACTGGCACATAATAGGTACTTAATAAATGTTTATTGATATTGATCTCAAGAAGAGCTATCTTCCTCACAATGGCAAATACTGAGAACTCTGTGCTTTTGTTTTTAAATTGCTCTAGAAGTCCTTCATCTTTGGCTGTATGATTATTATGACATGTAAATTGAATATTTTCCAAGGCTCTCTGATCGCAGAGGAGTCTGTCAGCCAGATCTTTTGTCCAAGCAAATTGCTTGTTCATTCCTGTGTCCCTGTCAGATTTTAGCTAAAGATTTTATTCAAGATGGAGGCTCGACCTGTCTCTGATGGGTTGATCCCACTCATAGTTTCCTATCCTAGCAATATCCTGAATACCCTGTATGGCCTGTCTCGGCCACCCTATGTCCTGCCTCCCATTATCCAGGAGTCTATGTCTAAAGGCAGCTGGATAGCACAGTAGGTAGTGTCAGGGCTGAAATCTGGGAGACTCATTTTTGTGAGTTCAAATCTGGCCTCATATTTACCAGCTGTGTAACTCTGGGCCTTTTGCCTCAGTTTCCCCATCTGTAAAATGAGCTGGAGAAGGAAATGGCAAGCCCCTTCTGTTTCTTTGCCAAGAAAGCTCCAGATGGTGTTACAGAGTTGGACCTAAGTGAAACAAGTGAACATGTCTAAAGGCCTGGAGCTGTTCTGCTTTGAAACGAGCATGCTGAAGCCCATGTGAGTTCAATCTCAGACTAACATTTTCAGTGTTTTCTAGTATTCAAGAAGGAGTCACTGTCTGGGCTGGAAATTAGACCTTTCCCTCAGGGATTGTTCCCTCTCCTGAATCTGTAGCTCACAAGCCAGCAGATTGTTATAAGAATACAAGTCATTCCACAATTGATAAATGGTCAAAGGATATGAACAGGCAGTTTTCAGATGAAGAAATTAAAGCTATCTGTAGTCATATTAAAAAAATGCTCAAAATCACTATTGATTAAAGAAATGCAAATAGAAACAACTCAGAGTTACCACATCACATCTATCAGATTGGCTAACATGACAAAACAGGACAATGATAAATGTTGGAGAAGATGAGGGAAAATTGGAGCACTAATGCATTGTTGGTGGAGTTGCGAACTGATCCAACCATTCTGCAGAGCAATTTGGAACTATGCCCAAAGGGCTGTAAAAATGTGCATACCCTTTGACCCAGCAATACCTCTTCTAGGTCTGTACCCCGAAGAGATCATAAAAATGGGAAACAGACCCATATGTACAAAAATATTTCTAGCAGCTCTTTTTGTGGTGGCAAAGAATTGGAAATCGAGGGGATGCCCATCAATTGGGGAATGGCTGAGCAAGTTGTGGTATATGAATGTGATGGAACACTATTGTGCTATAGGAAATGATGAACAGGCTGACTTCAGAAAACCTGGAAAGACTTGTATGGTCTTTTACTGAGTGAAGTGAGCAGAACATTGTACACAGTAACAGCCACGTTGCGCAACGAGTGACTTTCATAGACTTGGCTTTTCTCAGCAATGTAAGGATCTGAGACAACTCCAAAAGACTCCCGATGGAAAATGCTGTCCAAATCCAGAGAAAGAACGATGGAGTCTGAATGCAGATCGAAGCAGACTATTTGATCTCTTTTTTCCTTCTTTTGTTTCTTCTTTCTCGTGGTTTCTCCCATTGATTCTAATTCTTCTTTACAACATGACTAATGTGAAAATTTTTTAAAAATACTTAAAAAGAAGCTGAAAAGGGTAGGGGGAAGGTAAGGGAGGAGGAAGTTACCCAGGTTGATGATGCAGCAGCAGCATCTTTCAGAATAATGAATTCTTCAAGAATATGAAGTCCAGTAAAGTGGGAAATGATGAATTAAATATTGAATTCTGTTTGGGTTTCAAAGCCCTTCACAACCTGGCCCTTTCCTACCTTTTTGGTCTTCCTACACCTTATTTCCTTCTGTGTACCCAAGAAGCCAGTGACACTTTCTTAGGTTCCTTCCACATGACATTCTATCTCCAAACTCCAGGCATTTTTACTGGCTGTCTCCCATGCCTGGAATGGTCTTCTTTCTATCTTCCCTGTCTTCCTTCAAGATTCAGCTCAAAGCCCACCTTCTGCATAAATTCCTAATGACATACGTGCTGCTGCTTCTGCTGATGATAATGAAAGTAGTCTCCTGAAGCATAAGAAGTCAAGGGTCCCCAGGCTTGATGAAATCCCCATTGCCTTATGAGTCAGCATAGCTTTATGATTGCACTGGACCTGGAGTGAGGAAGACCTCAGTTTAAGTCTAGCCTTGTACACTTGCTGGCTGTCTGACCTTGGGCAAGTCACTTAACCTCTCTCTGCTTCAGTTCCTCCACTGTAAAATGGGATAATAATAGCACCTGGGTTGTTGTGAAGATCAAATGAGATACTATTTGTAAAAATTTAACACAGTGCCTGGTAATAAATGCTTGTTTCTTAAAAAAAGGTTTTTGTTTTTGTTTTTTTGCCATTCTGTTTAATTAGAAAACTTTATTGATATGGCATATTCCAAAGTATAGGTGATTGAAGCAACAGGGAGAGCTGGAGGTAAGGAGAGAGAGAGGAAGGGCAAGTGCAGTCGGAGCTGGTGAATGATGAAAGCACAGAAAACTCTGACTAGAGACGAAGTACAAAAGGGAAGGTTCAGAAGCAAGAGCGCTGGGAGTGACAGATGGGCGAGATTTCATAGTCATAGATGAGAAGATCCTGCATCTTGTGGGAAGGAGAGAAGGAAGGAAGAAAAGAAGGGGAGGAAGAGGAGAAGGAGGGAGGAAGAAAGGAAAGAGGCAGGGAAGGAGGGAAGAGGCAGAGAGGGAGGAAGGAAAGGAGGGAGGAAGGAAGGGAAGAAGGAGGGAGGAAAGGGAGAGAAGGAAGGAGAGAGGAAGGAAGAGAGGGCGGAGGGAAAGCAGGCCTATGGAGCTAAGAGACGAACCTCCTGGCTGCTTGTGGCTATTCTTGGGGTTCACACTGATCACTCCTCCTTTAAAAGCCGAGATCCCTGTAAGCCGCTCCAGACAGCCTAGGACCATGAGAGCTACTAAGGGTCTTTTCTTTCTCCAGGGTTCCAGGGTTCCACTACCTGTCCCAGATTTCTGCATCTGGAATCCTGAACCCTGCTCCTCCAGGCACATGGGCGGCTGCCCGCTGCCCTTTCCCCTTTGGGTTGTGCTGAAGTAGCCTGATGAAATCCAGAGACCAAGCCTACAACTCACCGTGAGTTTAGAGCCAGCTGTGATTCACTGAGGTTTATGCTAACTTCCCTTGAAAACTTCTAAAACTTCAGCTCTGCTTATCAGTGCCTGACTTAAAAGAATTGAAGGCAATAAATCTACTTTACCTCTGCCGAAAGAAGTCTTTCCAGCTAGCTGGCTAAAACCCCAGGAAGCAGCAGTTTCCCTGCTGAATGTCCCTGGGTAGGGATCTTTACCAGGCTTGTTGACAGCTAACTGACAAATGGACCCAAGAGCTGTTTCCTGGAAACAGGGTCTGGCTTGGGAGAACAACCCACTTCGTGGCCTTCTCTGAGCAAGCCCCTCAAAGAAAAGACTGGCCTCCTGCTGGCCCCTTTGGCCCCTGGGCTGAGGAGAGGTCAAGCTTTTCTTTGAATGCTGAACACACTTCCTGACCCCACTGGGAGGGAAGTAAACTGCTCTGTATGTTTTCTCTTGTCAAGGAGGGTCTGAGGCCTGAGAGTGGGGGTGGGGTGGAGCCTCTCACATGGGCCCCCTCCTCAACCCCACCCCAGTGTCAGTCAGGCAGGGCCCAGATCACTGACATTGAGCTGCCTTTCCATAAGGAAAATCGAAAGCTCAAGAGGATCTGCTTTCCTTAGCCTGTTGGAAAGAGTGGGAGCCCTATGTGGCCTTGCCAAGAAAACAAAGCCTGCTCTAGAGAGTGGTCAGGAGGTCCCCGAAAGCCTCTGCTTGTCCACCACCTCCTCCAGTGACCTTGTGGGGCCCCTTCTCACACAGCAGGCCTTGACTTACCTCCAGCATGTTAACGGAGCTTTACTGAAGGACTTTCACCCACTAGCAACTTCCTTTGGGCCTTGTAACCCCTCCTGTGAAGGAGGTAGGGCAGGGACCTACCAGTGGGGAAACTGAGGCCTGGAGAGCAAGGGACTTACCCAAGCTCACGCTGCTACCTGGTGGCAAAGCTGGGAGCAGATGCCAGACCTCCTGACTCTGGGGTCAGGGCGCTTCTGTCCAGGACCTAGGGGCACTGTTCAAGGAGAGACTTCTCTGGGACATGAAGGGGCCTTGGGCAGGCAGGCAGGCCTTGTCCAGGGGTATCGGTCACAGCTCCTCTCCCTCTGCCCCCCTGCCTTCCCCAGCAGACTGCAGGCCCTCATGGCACCAGCCTGCAAGAGCGCCTATCTTCCTCTGTATCCCCAGGACCTAAGCACCCACTGCCCAGCACTTAGTAGGCACTGAACTAATTCTTGTTGATTGATCTTCGAGGCCTTCTGGATTTCCCCCCCACTGTCTGTGTTCCCCCAATTCCTACACTTCCTATGAGCACGGTGCACAGGAGCTGAATCGTTTCCACAAGAGTCCAGGCGGGCAGGGATTGGGTCCCTCCTTGTCTTAACTCCCCAGGGCCTGGCATGGTGCCTGGTACCAAGTGGGCAGGAAATAAGAATAAAAAGGTTTGTTGATTGACTAGTGGATCCATCTTGACACTCTTGCTACAAATGACACTAGCAGGACATTGCGGCTCCACACAGGGCAGCCCCTCGGTGAACTTTATGAAGAGAGCAGTGCATGGGGATGGGCCGGAGTCTGTAGCTCTGGAGGGAAGTGAGAAATCAAAGAGATCACAGAGCCACGCGACTAGCTCTGGTGCCCACTTCCATGTGGCCGTGTTTCCCCCAAAGAAGCCAAGGGTCCTTGAGGGGAGGGACTGTGTCCCCAGAGCCTGCCTCGAAGTGGGGTGCCTAATAAATGCACCATGACTTGCACTCCTCCAGCCCAACCCTGAAGAGGCCCTGCTCGCTCCCTCCTCTGGGCCTCTGCCTAGAGTGCCCTCCCATCTCCTCTTTGCTGCAGAATGTCTACCCATCCTGGAAATTCTCATGCAAATGTCATCACTTCCTTAATAACAGTAACTGCCAACATTTATATAGCACCTACTGTGTGTTAAGCACTGTGCGAAAAGCATGTTTACAAATATTATCTCATTGGAGCCTCACGCCCCTGGGAGGAGGTGCTAGATTTATTCTCATTTCACAGATGAGGAAACCGAGGCAGTCAGCGTTTAAACCTTAAAACTTGCCCAGCATCACTCAGCTAGGAAGTGTCCACTACTGAATTTGTGCTCAGGTCTTCCTCGTTCCAGCACCGAGTCCTCCAGAGATGCCCAGAGCACCAAGTGTTTAAGTGGGTGGTCTAAATTGCCCACCCACTGTGTGCAAAAGGTGGGACTCGACCCTAGGTCTGCCTGTCCCCAGGCTAGCTCTTAGTCCTGGAAGGCGTCTCCATCCCACCGGGCGGTCCAGCGGGGGAGGGTCGTATTCTTATCCAGATCCCGTTTTTCTTCCAGCCCGGTGCTGTGCGCTGCTCACAGCGGGGTTCAGTAAACGTGTGCTTGAAGATTTCACGAATGGCACACAATTGTTTTCCAGGACCATCCTGGATGCCGAGTCCCCGCCCCCCCTCCCCCAGCTTCTCCCTAGGACCGGCCGCGGTCTGTGGGACGGCGGGGCCGGGACTCAGGGGAGAGAGACAGCGCTGCGCTTGACACGGGACAAGGACTTCATAAATGCCTGTTGACAGACCCGAGGAAATGGAGCCCTCAGGGTGGGTATTAGGGCAAGACCCCTAGACTGAGGGTTAGACCCTAAGAGCCAGCATGATGGGAAGGAGGGAGGGAGGACACGAACATTCATTAAACACCCACTACACACATCGCGGGCCCCTCGGCCTCCGGGCGCCTGCCAGGGTCTCTCCGGGGTCGCCCCGGGACACAGGCAGAGGGACTGTCAGCGCCGAGTTCGAGCAGGGCGGGGGAGGGGGGCGGGGCTTCGGCAGCGGCAGCGCCTCTGATTGGCTCAAAGTTCCCGGCGCCTCTGAGGCGGTGGGAGGGAGCGGATTTCCCCTCCCCCAAATCCTGGGAAACAGGGAAAGGGGGCGTGGCCCGAGCGGGAAAACCCAGAAAGGACCCGCCCCTCCGCGAATTAGCCAATGGGCTCATCCCCCCGGAGGGAGCGTCTGCGCAGGCGCTGGAGTTTCCTTTTGCGGCTCCATCCCTAAGCGGTTCGGTCCTGAGGAGCTTTCCCTGCTTGTCCGGGTCCGAGGTGAGGGGAGGGGAGCCCGATGGGGGACGGGCGCCTGGGACCCCCGCCTTCTCCCCGCTCCTTGCCTCAGTTGGCTCGTCCCTGAAATGGAGCGAAGGCTCCTCGATCCTGGGGGGGGGTCAGTGAGGAGGTACCGCCCCGCCCCCTCCCTCCTCTCTTCCCCCTCCCCTTCCCCCTTCTCCCCCCTTTCTCTCCCCCTCACTTCTTTCCCTTCCTTTTCCCCCATCCCTCCTTTATTTCCTCCCCTCCCCCTCCTCCCTTCCCACCTCCTCTTTCCCCCTTCTCCCCTTTTCCCCTCTTCTGCTCCCCACATCCCTCCCACATGGGTGACCTTAAGGCTCCTGCCCACCCCCTCCCTGCATTTCTGGGGTTCGGACCCCCTGGGAAGAAAGCCTCCAGCCCAGGCCCCCCCTCCTCCCCCGCTGCCACTGCCCCCTGCCTCCTCACGTGACCCAGCATTTCTGGGGGGAGGGGCACAGTCTGGGCTTTTCTGTCTCCTCGGCGTCTCCAGCACCTAAAATACAGCGAGGCATACAGTGGGCGCCTCATCAATGCACGTTGAATTGACCCAAGTCCTGGACACAGACAGGCCGCCCCCGGGATCACTGTGGGCATTTCCCAGGCAGAGGCAGGTCTGAGGAGGGGGGAGGGGGAAGGGCCCACCCCCCTCCTGGCTGCCTTTTCCTTTCCAGCTCCGCCTCGTGGGACCCTTGGGCCTGGGCGCGGGCCAGAGCGGGGAGCAGCAAGGAGCCAGAATGGGCCCCGAGTTCCTCACCAGCAGGTCCCCCCAGGTAAGCAGCATGGTCCTCCTCCCTGGCAGGTGTCTCGGGTCACAGTGTAGACAGGTCCTTTCCCAGTGCTCTCCGTCCTCAGAGCACCTGGGGCTGATCAGCCATTCAGTCACCAGACCACAGTGCCTGGCATCCAGCAGGCACTTAATAAATGCTGGCTTATCTGACTTGACTCAACATCTGGGGGACCCTGAAAGGTGGATCTGCTGGGAGATTTTCTCTGATCCTCTCAGTGGTTACTCCCTCCCCAAATGTCCATTCCAACATGGCAGGTACCATATGCATAAATTGGAACATACAAGAAAACATAACATTAGATGCAAGGAAGCCTGACTGGGGAAGGCAGCTGGGGGCTGGGAACGCAGGCCTGTAGGAGGGGGCTCTGCAGCTGGATCTTCAAGGATGCCAGGGATTCTGGGATGTGGAGGGGAGGGACATACTTAGCTCCTTCATTAAAGTATGATTCTAGTCATCTGCTTTCCCATCTGTGGGGTCGTCCTTGACTCCACGAAATCCCTGGCCAAATCTCCTCCTTTCTGTCTCCACACATCTTCCCAAAGATGCCCTTCCCTTCCACCACCTTAGTGCACACCTTCTTACTCTCTCACCTGAACTTTATAAACAGCTTCCTCCTATCTGGGTCTCCTGCCTCAAGCCTCTCCCCACTCTAGCCCTTCCTGCACAAATCACTAAAGTGATTTTCCTGTAGCATACTGTGTCACCCCCACTGTCCCTCAATAAACTCCAGTGGCTCCCTAGGCCTTCCAGGATCAAATATAAAGTCCTCCATTTGGCATTTAATGCTCTGCACAAACTGAGCCCTTCCTCATTCCCGTGTCTTAGCATGTTAAAGTCCTTCCTGCTTCCTGTGGCCTGGCCAGCCTGGCCTGTTTTCTGTTCCTCACATGTGACCCCCATCTCTCCTCTGCCTCTGCTTCCCTCCCTGCCTGGAGTGCTTTTCTCCCCTCACCTTGCCCCTCTTGGAGGCACTGACTTAATCTGCCAATATTCAGCTCAAGCCCTGACTTTTATAGGAACCCACTCCTGGTCTCCTCAGCTGCTGGGGCCTTGCTGAACCCTCAGGACTGCTTCTGTGCCTGTTGTCTCCCCATTAGACTGTGAGCTCCTTGAGGGCAGGGACTGCTTTTGTCCTCATTTGTATCCCCAGGGCTCAGCACAGAGCCTGACACAGGGCAGACACTCCATCAAGTGCTTATGGGCTTGACAATGAGTGTTCTTGTATTACATGATTCAGAACCTGAGGCATGTAGTAAATGCTCCTTGTGATTTTCCTTTGAACACTCTGCAACCTGAATATACTAAGAATCAGTCCTTCTCATTCCTGTTCCCCTTCACTCCCCTTCCCACATCCATCTGGGTTGTGGTCCCTGGCCAAGCACAGATTGATTTGTTTCAGGAATCAGTGACCTTCAAGGATGTGGCTGTGGACTTCACCTGGGAGGAGTGGGGCTACCTGGACACTTCCCAGAAGGAGCTTTACTGGGAGGTGATGCTGGAGAACTACAGGAACCTGGTCAGCCTGGGTAAGGAGGCTCCTCTGGGGACTTGGGATCTGCCCCAAAAGGTTGTGTGCTTCCTTCTGCTGGGGCTGGGTCCACTGTTCAGCACTGGTGCTTTGGCCTGTAAGAAAACCAAGCATTTGTTACTTACAGTGAGGGCAAGAGACAGGGTTCTTGTGCTCTGCCTGGTCCCAGCTGAAGGGCTCTTGCTTTGTATGGCTGGAAGCTGTCTGCTTCATTGTGTGAGCCTGCTCCAGCTCTCTCTTCAGGCCAGGGAGGCTTTCTCAAGTCCCAGGGCAGATACTGAAGTCAAGACAGCTCCTGGATAGCTCAGTATTGAATGGGTCAAATGAACTCCTTGTTTCTCTGAATCTGTCCGAATTTTTGCCCCTTGAAACTGCTGCTGCCTCCTTCCCGCTTCCTTTCTGCTGTCCTTGCCTCAGGTGGTTAGTCTCTTGAAAGGGGCAAATACTCCTTCCTCTGTCCCTGGGGGTCAGTGAGGCAGAACCACCCCTTCCTTTCTTCCCCCTTTCTCTCCTCCCCCTCCCTTTTTTCCTCATTTCCCTTCCTCTCTCCCTTCTCCACCTTTCTGTCCCTGCCCATCCCTGGCTCCTCTTCCATTCTCACCCCTACCCCTCTCCCACTCCCCAAATCCTCTGCTCTGACATGGACGACCTTAGGCTCCCACACTCATCTATCTGGCTACAAGCCTCCCATTTTATTTGGTTTCATGCTCTCTTCTCCACACTCCTGTCCCCCTGCATTTCTAGGGAAAGGAGCCTCCTGCCTCCTCACCTCAGCCCCAGCCCAGGGCGCCCCCTCCTCCTTCCCCTGCCCCTCACATGACCTGGCATTTCTGGGGGGAGGGGCACAGTCTGGGCGTTTCTGTCTCCTTGGCATCTCTAGCACCTAGAATGCAGTGAGGCATACAGTGGGGGCTTCATCAATTCATGTTGAATTGACCCAAGTCCTAGACACAGACAAGCTGCCCCTGGTGTCACTTTGAGCAGGGAGGACTGTGGTCATTTCCCAGGCAGAGGCAGGGCTGGGGAGGGTGAGGGGGAAGGGCCCACCTCTCTCATGGCTGCCTTTTCCTTTCTAGCTCTGCCTGGTGGGACCCCAGGGGCCTGGGTGCAGGCCAGAGTGGGGAGCAGGAAGGAGGGAAGAATAGGCCCCGAGTTCCTCACCAGCAGGCTCCCCCAGGTAAGCAGCATCGTCCTCTTTTTTTGCCTGCCTTCTTTCCTTCCTTTTTCTTACAGTCTGACTTTGGATTTCTTTTTTGTCTTGTGTTTATTTTATTCATTTCTTTTGTTCCTTTTTGTATTCCAAAATTTCCTCCCTCTCAGCTCCTCATTAAAGAAAACAAATGCCATATAGATCGGTGTGGGAATTATACAACACATACTTCCACATAGTCGTTTTTTCTCTGTGGATGGAGAGCGTTTTCCTCCACGAACCCTTCGTAGTTGATTTGAATGTTCATATTTCTCAGAATAGCCGAGTTATTCTTTGAACAATCTTGCTGTTACTGTATACAGTGTTCTCTTGGTTCTGTTGGATTCACTCTGCATCATTTCATGCAAGTCTTTCCATGTTTGTCTGAAGTCAACCAGCTTGTCTTTTCTTACAGCACAGTAGCATTCCATCAGCATTATATGCCACAACCTATTCAGCCTTTCCTTAATTGATGGGCCTCTTGTAATTTCCAGTTCTTTGCCACCACAAAGAGAGCTACTATAAATGTTGCAGACCGTATAAGTTCTTTTCCGTTTTGCCCCCTACCACCTTAAGAAACAGTGGCATTGCTGAGTCCGAGGGTACAGTTTTATGACTCTTTGGGCATAATTCCAGCTTGCTCTCCAAAATGGTTAGATCAGTTCACAGTTCCACCAGCAATGTATTAATGTCCCAGTTTTTCATATCTCCTCAAACATTCATCTTTTCCCCTTCAATCATGATAACCTGATAACCAGATTTAAATCTGATTGGTATGAGGTAGTACCTCAAATTTGTTTTAATTTGCATTTCATTAATCAGTAATTTAGAGTATTTTTTCATGTGACTATATAGATTTTGTTTCTTCTTTTAAAAACTGCCTGTTCATATGCTTTGATCATTTATTAATTGGGGAATAACTCATTCTTATAAATTTGACCCAGTTTTCTACATATTTAAGATATGAGGCCTTTATCTGACAAACTGTCAACAAAAATTTTCCCCCAGCTTTCTGCTTTCCTTTTAATTTTGGTTAAGGTGGATTTATTTGTACAAAACCTTTTTAATTTAATGTAATCAAAATTATCCATTTTATATACCACAATGCTCTGTATCTCTTATTTATTTGTAAATTCTTCTTCTATACATAAATCTGATAGTTAATGTTTAATGCTTCTCTAACTTACTTATGGGATCTCCTTTTATGTTTAGGTCATGTATCCATTTTGACCTTATCTTGGTAAATAGTATAAGATAGTGATCTATATCCAGTTTCTGCCAGTCTGCTTTCCAGTTTTCCCAGCAATTTTTACTAAATAGTGAGTTCTTATCCCAAAATGTTACATCTTTACATTTATCAAACATGAGTTTAATATAATCGTTTACTACTGTGTGTTTCATACCTACTCTAATCCACTTATCGACCATTCTCCTTCTTAGCCAGTACTACCTTATGATACAATTTAAGATCTGGTACTGCTAGACCTCCTTCTTTTACTTTTTTTTTCATTAATTCCTTTAATGTTCTTGACCTTTTGTTTTTCCAAATGAATTTTGTTATTACTTTTTCTAGCTCAATAAAATAATTTTTTCGTAGTGGGGATGGCACTGAATAAGTAGATTACTTCAGGTAGAATTGTCATTTTTATTATATTGGTTTGGCCCACTCATGTGCAATTAATATTTCTCCAATTGTTTAAATGTGACTTTATTTATATAAAAAGTGTTTTATAATTATGTTCATGTAGTTCCTGGATTTGTCTTTGCAAGTATTACTCCCAGGTCTTTTATATTGTCTATGGTTATTTTAAATGCAGGGCTTTGTTGATGATATGTAAAAATGTGGATGATTTATGTGGGTTTATTTTATATCCTGCTATTTTATTAAAATTATTGTTTCATCTGTTTTTTAGTTGAATCTTAAGGATTTTCCAAATATATCATGATATTATCTGCAAAAAAGAGATAGTTTTATTTCCTCGTTGCCCACTCTAATCCTTCAGGTTCTTTTTTTTCTCTTTTTTCTATTGCTAGCATTTCTAGTATAATATTGAATAATATTAATAATAATGAGCATCCTTGTTTCACTCCTGATTTTATGGGTTAAGCTTCTAGCTTATTCTGCATCTATTGATATAATCATATTATTTTTGTTGATTTTTTTATTGATATAATCAATTATGTTAATAACTTTCCTTATACTGAACCAGCCCTGCATTCCTGGTATAAATTCCACTTGGTTACAAGGTATAATTGTTGTGATATATTGCTATAATCTCCTAGCTAGTATTTTATTTAGGATTTTTATATCCATATTCATTACTGAAATTCATCTATAATTTTCTTTGGTTTTGCTCTTCCTGGTTTAGGTATCAGCATCATATTTGTTTCATGAAAGGAGTTAGGTAGGACTCCTTCTTTGTCCATTGTTACTGATATTTTATTTAATATTGGAATTAATTGATCTTTAAATGCTTGGTAAAATTCACTTGGAAATCCATCTGTTCCTGATACTTTTTTCTTAGGAAGCTCATTTATGGCTCGTTTGGTTTCTTTTTCTAAAACAGGTTTATTTAGCTATCCTTTTTTTTCTTCTTTTGTCTGGACAGTTTGTATTTTTGTAAGTGTTCCTCCATTTCGCTTAGATTGTTAAATTTATTAGCATATAATTGGACAAAATAACTCCTAATAATTGCTTTAATTTCATCTTCATTAGTAGTATATTCACCCTTTTCATTTTTGATACTAGTGATTTTGTTTGCTTCTCTTTTTGAAAATCATGTTAACCAGCGGTCTTTCTATTTTGTTGTTTTTCATAAAACCAGCTCCTTGCTTTATTTATTAATTTAGTGGTTTTCTCATATCCAATTTTATTGATCTCACCTTTAATTTTTAGGATTTCCAGTTTGGTGTTTAATTGAGGATTTTTAATTTGTTCTACTTCTGGGTTTTTAATTGCATGCCCACTTCATTGACTTGCTCTCTGTTTTGTTCATATGAGTATTTAGAGATATAAATCTTCCTCTGCTAGTTTTGCTGCATCCCATGAGTTTTGGTATGGTGTCTCATTATTATCATTCTCTTTTAATGAAATCATTTATTGTTTCTGTGATTTGTTCTTTGACCCACTCATTCTTTAAGATTAGGTTATTTTGTCTCTGATTAATTGTTAATCTGTTTCCATGGTCTTTTATAAAATGTACTTTTTATTCCATTATGATTTGAAAAGGATGTGTTTCATGTTTCTGCTTTTCTGCATTTGACAGTAAGGTTTTTATGCCTTAATATATGGCCAGTTTTATAAAGGTGCCATGTGCCACTGCCGAAAAGGTATATTCCCTTTCTATTCTATGGGAGCCATAGCTCTGATCCTATCTGTGAACCTGAACAATCCACAAAGCCTTTCTTAGCCTCAGTTTGCCCATCTGTAAAGTGGGGATGAGGAATGCTGGCCTTCCCAAGGTGGTTGTGATGGGTTCTAGACCTTGATCGTCAGTAGTCAGGTGCCTGCTGTCTCCCTCATTAGACTGTAATCTCCTTCGGGCAGGGACTGCTTTTGCCCTCATTTGTATCCCCAGGGCTCAGCACAGAGGCTGATGCAGGGCAGACGTTCCATAAATGCTTATGGTCTTGACAATGACTGTTGTTTTATTACATGATTCAGAATCTGGTACAGCCTGAGCTGTGTCATAAATACTCCTGAACGTTTGACTTTGAACACTCTAAAACTTGAATATAATAAGAATCAGTCTTCCTGATTCCTGCCCCCTTTACCTGCCACCCTAGGTCCATCTGGGCTCTGGTCCCTGGTTGAGCACAAAATTATTTGTTTCAGGAATCAGTGACATTCAAGGACATGGTGGTGGACTTCACTTGCAGGGAGTGGGGCTACCTGGACACATCCCAGAAAGAGCTTTACTGGGAGGTGGTGCTGGAGAACTACAGGAACCTGGTCAGCCTGGGTAATGATGGCTCCTCTGGGGACTCAGGATCTGCCCACGAAAGGTTATTTGCTTCCTTCCCTTGGAGACTATATCTAGTGTTCCGCACTAATGCTTTGACCTGCAAACAAAAACAAGCATTTGTAAATGTGGCCTCTCCCTGGTCCCAGCTGAAGGGCCCTTGTTTTGTGTGTCTGGAACCTAACTGTTTAATAATGTGATTTCACGCCAGCTCTGTTCCCTCATGCCAGAGATGCTTTCTAAAGTCCAAGGGCAGTGTTTGGAGTCATGAGGGTTCCAGATACCTTAGTATTGAATGTTTAAAAGAACTCATTGTCTTTCTGAACCCAACTCCATTCTTTGTCCCATTCCTGTATCTTCCCAGGAAAATAAACCAGATCACCTTTGAGATGTTTTCTGTGTGGTCCTCCATAGCCCTGAAACTCCCTGGTCCTTCCTCGCTTGCTTTTAGTGGGTTTTGTGGTTTGGGCTCTGAGGTGACCCTCCCTCTCCCTCACTTTGCCGTTTCTCATGACTAGGTCTTGCAGTATCCAACTTGGACATGTTCTCTCATCTGGAGTCAGGGGAAGCACATGGGATTCCAATGGGTAGTGTCCTGAGAACCATCTGGCCAGGTGAGCAAGTGAGTGCTAAGGACATTGAGTACATGACACATTAATGCTCCACTGATCATTCATCTGTGAGCCTCCGAAAATGGGCAAATTTGTGATCCTCTGGATGAATTTTTTGGTCATGAACTCTTCTCCCAGCCATAGATCTTATAGACAATTTCTTTCCCACTCCTCCATTTTGTTTGGATGATGTCACCTTTTATATCAGAGTCAGTTGGTATGGATAGATAAATCTGATTCTGTTGGTGCTTTCAGAATGCAGGAATGGGGGGCAGCTAGGTGGCGCAGTGGATAGAGCACCTGCCCTGGATTCAGGAGGACCTGAGTTCAAATCTGGCCTCAGACATATAACACTTACTAGCTGTGTGACCCTGGGCAAGTCATTTAACCCCATTGCCTAGCCAAAAAAAAAAAATCCAGAATGCAGGAACACTTCTCCACCATGGGTGTTACTTTGAGTTGTTTTAATCTTTTTGGAAAGCAAAGTAGAATTTTTTAATGTAGGAGGTACACATAACTTCCTCTTCTTAGACTCAGTGTTCATACTCGCATCACTCTCTCCAGGTATGATGAAGACATTTACCTCCCCCCAAAAAATACTTCAAACTACATTGTTCTTATTGGTGTAAGGGAGCCAGGAAACTTCTGTATTTCCATTGATTGTGTATCATCTGCATCCATTTTGGCATTTCCCTTAATATAATTATTAGGCTATATGGAAGGATAAGCATAGTGATTACAAATTTTTGAAGACACAAATAGATTTCAATTCAGGTGAAAACAATATGTACATTTCTTGTAACAGCCAGAATACCAGGGAAAGTGAAGCATAAACAAAAGCTTATTCATCCAAGGAAAAGGGTGTTTACACTTGTTCTTCCTTTTAGATTGGGACACCAGACCTCATTCCAAGGAGTCGTCGCCAATGATGAGTGTTTCCATGGAAAACTTATCCCAGAAAACATTTTCACAGCATGCTCCATGCGTCTCCAAGATGAGGAGAGCCTGGGAGCGTTATGGCAGTTCAAAGAAAGAGCAGAGCAATGAGAATCATCCTAGACTGGTAAAACTAATGCAGACAGAAGCTCCGGGGAAAGGGAGAGACTTTGAATGCAGTAAATACAGGCACACATCCAGCCTCGAGCCAGTCCTTTGCCTACCACAGGGGGTATCTGTAGTAAGGAATCTCTATAAAGGTGATATCCAGAGAAAGAGTTTTACTGTGTATTCAGACCAAAGACAATGTAATCAAATCTGTTCAAAGGATAAGCAATCTAAGGTTAACAGATTTCAAAAAACCTTTGATTGTGATTCGGACCACATTAAAAAACATGGAATTCATGTTGAAGGGAAACTTCACAAAAGTGGGAATTCTTTCCTCCTGAATAATGAACTTAGTCTGCACCAGAGAACTGATACAGAAAAACAGTGTTATGAATCGACTAAATGTGGGGAGATATCTTGTCAGAAGGCAGCTCTTACTCAACTCTCTAGCATTCAGAATAAAAACAAAATTTATAAATGTAGTGAATGTGGAAAGGCCTTCCAGCAGAAGATAAATCTCATACAGCATTTCAGAATTCATACTGGAGAGAAACCTTTTGAATGCAGTGACTGTGGAAAGGCCTTCCGCCAAAAGACTGATCTCATACGACATTACAGGATTCATACTGGAGAAAAACCTTTTAAATGCAATGTTTGTGGGAAAGCCTTTCCACGGAACACAACACTGACTCGACATCGGAGAACTCACACTGGAGAGAAATCCTATGAGTGCAGTGAATGTGGGAAGACATTTGGATCAAGCTCCAATCTTTCTCTGCACCGGAGGACTCATAAAGGAATAAAGCCTCATGAATGCAGTGACTGTGGAAAGGCATTCCCTCAGAAGTCTGATCTTACTCGCCACATTAGTACTCATACTGGAGAGAAACCCTATGAATGCACGGAATGTGGAAAATCCTTTACCCGGAGCACTGGTCTTTCATCCCATAAAAGAATACATGGCAGACAGAAATCTTATGGATGTCATGAATGTGGGAAGGCATTCCGCCGGATCACAGCACTTACTGAACATTATAGAATTCATGATGGAGAGAAACTTCATTAATATAATCATTGAAGCAAAACTTTTCTCTGGAAGAGACTTTTTGACAAATTTAGTTAATATTGGAAAGGATCCAAGAAATATAGTCCACATAGAAAGCCCTTCAATTTATGATGATGGACTATTTTTCCTCAATATAGGGGGGTCATTGACTAGAGAGGCAAATGATACATGTACTCCCATAAGTAACCAGTGTGTTGACTTACTTTCCTTGACAATATGTAATTGTTACAGGGGAGCTCTTTCCTGGGGAGGAGAGAGTCTGTGGTGAGTGGCAGTGATGTGTCCAAGAAATAAAAGGACCATCAATAAAAGAAAAATTACAGTCCTTCAGCCAGAACAGAACTTCCCGAGTATCACGCTTCCAACATGGAAGATAGACAGATGTAGGACAGACAATAGTATAATTAGGTGCCATTAGAACAATTTGAGTAGTTTTGGATGGTTAATAGCAGCTTGGAAAGCGGTCAGCGCTCAAGTGCCTTTAGGGATTTGTACTTAGGCCTGGTCTGTTGAACATTTTTATCAATGTCTTGAGATAGTATGTGTAAAAGACTAAACGTTAAAGCATCATGTACCTATAATCTCTTGTTACTTAAGGCATAAGTAGTATGCATGTCAAACATATTGATGACTCAAAAAAATTAGCTTAGTTTTGTCCCTTCCCCTCAATCCCCTTTGAGGGAAGCTTGGGATTCCCAGTGTGTATTTCAAGCACGAAGAGTAGGTGGGACATGGAACACCCTCTAGGTCAGTTTGACCTAGGGAAGTTCCATCTCCTGACGGGGAGGAGATGGTGCAATGAACCAGAAGATAGGAACAGTAGGGCACGTCACACCATCTTTGTCATTTGCAAAGCCTTCTGGAAAGTTAACTGTAGAACCAGGGAGAGGGTGTGTGTGTGTGTATGTGTGTGGAGCCTGGCTGGCTGGCTATGACAGATGAGCCTGGAGTTTGCCATGTCTCCATTTCCCCAAGACAAGGAAGAAAAGGCAAGACCATAAAGCTATTCCAGGCCCACCCACCCCCACCTCATCAGAAAATGTGAGGAATGATTTATTGGGCTCTTATTTTATTCCAATCAGTATTGATCAGTTTAGTGTGATTCCATAGGGGTAGTGATTGTTAGTAATTATTACTGACATACTCATCTAGTAATATACATTTTATTACATGTGTTAATACATATTTTACATACATCTAGGGATAATTAAATAAGATAGATTGTTATAATGGGCCCCAAACTTTAAATTACATTTAATAACCTGTTAAAAAAGTACCAAGGTTCACTTGCCTAACCACAGGAGTGCTCCCTAGAGGATGTCCACCATTTTGGGTGATGAGGGCATGACCAACCCTAGCATGGGTGGGATGTCTTAATGTGATATGGAAAATCACTTATATTTTTGTGCCTCTGACCCACCCTCTCTTGCCCAACAGGAGGAGGGGCCCATCTTACGTCAGCAGGGATGACCCTTGCCTTGACTGTATTTTACTTTGTCTCTTCTGAGTGTCTGGGTATCAAGCCCTATAAAAATAAGGTCCTGGGGAAAGGAGGCATCTCAGACTGTGAGGAAGTTCTGAGGTCCTATTCATTGAAGAGTCCCTTTAATAAATGGTTGTTGGCTCAGAGGTCTACCTCAGTGTTTTTTCTTGAAGATCGAACAATTTTGAACCTCACAGCTATTAACCTCCCATTCAAATTTTAATGAAAAAAATTATTTTGAGTTCTGAGTTTTCTCCTTTACTCCACTCCTCTGCCACTTGTTGAGAAAGCAAGCAGTATGATTTAAGTTATACATGTGAAATCAAGCAAAGTATTATTATATCAGACATGTTGCAAAAACAAAAAACCAAGGAAGTTAAAAAATGCTTTAATATGTACTCAGAGTTCATCCTTTTTATTATTATGCCTTTTTTCAGCATATATTGTAGAGGTAGATAGCATTTTTCTTCATGAGTCTTTTGAAATTGTTATGGATCGTGGTCTTGATTACAATAGCCAAGTCTTTCACAGTTGATTATCATTGTGATATTGCTATTACTATGCACAGTGTTCTGGTTCTGCTCATTTCACTTTGTATCAGTTCATGTAAGTCTGCCAAGATTTTTCTGAAACCATCCCCCCTCACCATTTCTTATAGCACCATAGTATTCCATCCCAATGACATACCACAACTTATTCATCCATTACACAATTGGTGGACAGCCCCTCCATTTCCAATTCTTTGCCACCACAAAAAGAGCTGCTATAAATATTTTTGTACATATGGCTCTTTTGCCCATTTTTATGATCTTTTTGGGATACAGACCTAGTAGTGGGATCGCTGGGTCAAAGGGTATGCATGGTTTTATATCTGTTCAGACATACTTCCAAATTGTTCTTTGAAATAATCAGACCAGGTCAGAGCTCTTGAAGGAAACAAGATTGCAAGAGACAGAGGCAAGGAGAGAGGGCTTTCTGGGAATGAGCAACAGCTAGGAGAAGGGCGTAACATTGTAGATAGTGTAGTGCATGAGGAGCAGCAAATTAGCCAGTTGGATGGCCCCTATAATGTGCAGAGAGGACTGACGTGGAATAGGGTTGGAAAGGGAGGATGGGGCTACCTAAGGGAGGATCCTGAAGGTACTTTTTTTATTCCTAGAGAACTGGGAGAAGTTTAAAGTTGGTTATTTGTATTTTTTTTTCCCTTCTGAGAACTCTTCCATTACTTTGGCTGTTTGTCTCAAGAAAATAAATCTGTGGAATCCCCTATTTGGGGGAATTAGTCATTTCTCCTATTTGGTGAGTTATAAGAGCTTCCTTCCTCTCCAAATTTGACGTCCTTTGACATTTCACCTTTTGTACTAATTCTGCCTGATTTTTCCCAACGCATTTTACTGGATGAGAACCCCCTGATTTCAGTCAATCAGCAAGCACCTTCAGTGGCTCAGGCGTGGTGCTGTGGAGACAGAGGACGTAGTCCTTGACTTCAAGAATCTTCCATTGGGGGAGACAAAATAAATGACTCAGCATGCAAACAGAAAAAGTAAGACAGTCCCTGCTTATAAGGAGCTCATTCTTATGGGGCACACAACACGGAGTAGGTCCGGTATAAGTCAGGCAGCTAGGGGTGCTACAGGGCACATAGGGCTGGGCCTGGAATCAGGAAGCCACAAGTTCAAATTCACCCTCAGATACTTCCACTTAACCTCTTTGGGCCTCTGTTTCCTCATCTTTAAAATGGAGAAAATGTCTGCCTCACAAGGTTGTTGGGAGGATCCACTGAATTATCTGTTTAGCCCTTAGAATAGTGTCCAGCACATAGAAGGCTCTATAAATGTGCCAGATATGATAATAATATTATTAAAAGGTCCCATGGTTCTTAGGGTGCTGCTGTAAAGCAGATGGCAATGCCTCTTCTTTAATGTCATTTACACTGACAGAAACATCACTTTCCGATGTTGAACCATCTGACAATGTCAAAGACTTTCATGTCAGTGACTTTCTCTTCTGGGTCTTCAGCAATTGTGGCTTTAGCCCCTACAGGAGGGGTGTGCAGGCTGCATCTCCCCTGGGGCTTTTCCCCGAGTGATGGCTGAGGGCACTGGGCTGGAAGACTGCAGTTCCCCGGGCTCTTGGGTTCAGGGGCCCGGACCATCTCCCACCAGATGCCGAGGGGAGTTGGTGGCCAAGGTGGTGGTGCTTGTGGTCTGACTTGTGTGGCATGTACTGCCTTCCATATCTCCCTCAGGGTGCCTTCCTTAGGCTTGCCTGCCCTGTCTGTGACACTTGGTTGGCAATTGATTGGAATGGCTGGCCCTTCTGTGCCTGTTGGCTTGTTGGTGGCAGTTGACAGTTGTTGTTGGTAACGATGAGGACAGAGGAGCCCCTCCCCACTATGATTTCTGCCCTTGGTGATGACTATGGGGCTGGTGGTTTGGGGGTACAGTGCTATTGCCAAGGCTCAAGGTCTGTCGGATGGCCAAGGGGCTGGTGGTGATACGAGTTCCCATGCCCCCTCCTGCCACCTCCTCAAGGTGCCCAGCTATTTATACATGAACACCTATAAAGAAAATGTATGCAAAACTAAGCACAAGGTAAATTATTTGGGTTTAGAGTGATGGCCTCTGGGCTTGGAGATCAGGGAAAACTTCATGGGAAAGGTGTTTCTTTAGAAGTTTTAAAGGTTTTTTGTTTGTTTGTTTTACTTCTGGGAGCCAAGATGGTGAAGTAAGCAGGAAATCGCCCTAACTCTCCCATACTCACCTCCAAACAACGATAAAATAGTACCCCAAAAGAAACCTTGGAACAGCAGAACCAGCAAAAAGATGGGGTGAAATACTCTTGGCCCAAGAAACATGGAAGTTTGGCCAGAAGGGTCTGTCTCACTTGGGTAAAAGGGGAGTGCAGTCCAGGACAGGAAGCACCCCAGCAAGCCAGCAGCAAGTCCCGCCTCCACAAACAAGCAGGAGATCCTGAGCCCAAGTGGGTCCTGAGCTCCACCAGCCTGGTGAAGCAGGCTCCCTGCCCCACATGGCTCAGCATAGCCAGGGGAATGGGCAGATGCCAGTTCTGAGACTGCAGCTCCAGGCAAACAGGTTGACACCAACTCTACAGGTGCCTAAGCAAATGGGCAGACACCAGCCCAGGGCTCCACACATAACCTGAGATGGCCAGGCTGTAGGCAGCTGCTAGTGCAGGGACCACCATGTGCTTCAGTGAAGCCTTGGGGAAACACACACCAATGCAGGAACACCCCACCAACCTCAGCACGTGCCAGACGCCACCATTAGGACCCCATCTGGGTACCAGGCAAGCTGCTAAACCGCCACCCCCCACCCACTCCCACAGAACAGCACCAGACACGAAGGTCCTCCTTGGGCCTCAGGGCAACATCAGTGCAGTACCAGGTGAAAGGCCCCTGGCACAAGAAGCCCGAGACAGTGCCCCTTCCACCCCAGGAGCAGAGCCCAGATTGAAAAGAAGGGAAAAAGGCCAAAAGAGATAAGCAAAAAAAGAACAACAAAAAGAATGTGACAATGGAAAGTTAATATGGTGACAGGGAGGATTAAGACACAAACTCAGAAGAGGACAACAGTGTCAAAACAACTATGGGCAAATCCCCAAAGAAAAACAGGAAGTGGTCTCAAGCCCACAAAGAACTCATGGAAGAAGAGTTCAAAAAGGAGCTGAAAAATCAGATAAGAGAGGTAGAAGAAAAACTGGGAAAAGAAATGAGAGTTTTGCATCAGAATTATGAAAAAAGAGTCAACAGCTTGGAAAAAGAAAACTGCTTAGAAAGTAGAATTGGCCGAATGGAAAAGGAGATACAAAAATCCATTGAAGAAAATAACTCCTTAAAAAGTACAATTAGTCAAATGGAAAAGGAGGTACAAAAAGCTAACTGAGGGAAACGACTCCTTAAAACTTATAACTGGGCAAGTGGACATTAGTGACTCTATGAGACATCAAGAATCAGTCAAACAAAATCAAAAGGATGAAAAAAATAGAAGAAAATGTAAAATACCTCATTGGAAAAATTGACGTGGAAAATAGATCCAGGAGAAACAACGTCAGAATCATTGGACAACCTGAGAGCCATAATCAAAAGAAGGACCTGGACAGCATCTTTCAAGAAATTATCAGAGAAAACTGCCCTGATATCCTGGAACCAGAGGGCAAAATGGGCATTGAAAGAATCCACTGATCACCTCAGAAAAGAGATCTCAAAATAAAACTCCAAAAAATATTATAGCCAAACTTCAGAACTATCAGGTCGAGGAAAAATGACTGCAAGTGGCCTGAAAGAAACAATTCAAATACTGGGAAACCACAATCAAGATTACACAGGACTTAGCAGCTGCAACATTAAAGGATCAGAGATCATGGAATATGATATTCTGGAAGACAGAGAAGCTAGGACTACAACCAACAATCACCTACCTGGTAAAATTAATCATAATACTTCAAGGGAAAAATGGTCATTCAATGAAATCGAAGGATTTCAAGCTCTCATAAGGAAAAGACCAGAATTGAACAAAAAGTTTTGATCTCAAGACCCAAGAGAAGCACAAACAGGTAAAAAGAGGAAAGAAAACATAAGGGATTCAGTAGAGCTAAACTGTTTACATCCCTACATGGAAAGATGATACTTGCAATTCTTAAAAATTGTACCACTGGGGGCAGCTAGGTGGTACATTGGATAGAGTTCTGGCCTTGGAGTCAGGAGGACCTGAGTTCAAATCTGACCTTAGACACTTGACACTTACTAGCTGTGTGACCCTGGGCAAGTCACTTAACCCCGATTGCCTCACCAAAAAAAAAAGTACCACTAAGGTAAATTTGAGGGAATGGCATAAAGATTAATTAAGGGATGAGAAAGAGGAGTACACTGGATTTGGAATGAAGGGAGAGGTAGAATGGGGTAAGTTATTTCACACAAAGAGGTTAGAAAGACATACTACAGTGGAGGGGAAGATGGGTGGGCAATAGACATCACTTGAACCTTACTCTCATCAGTACTGGCTCAAAGAGAAAATAATATACTCAATCAGTTGAATGCAGAAATCTATCCTATCTGACAAGGAAGTAGGAGGAAAGGAGATTAACTAAAGGGGAGGGGGCTGACAGAAAGGAGGAGACAAAAGGGAAGGCAGTAGTGAGAAGCAAAACATTGATGAGGAGGGAAAGGGTGAAAGGAGAAAGTGGACAACAGGAAAAAAATAATATAGAAGGAAATACACGGTTAGTAATCATATCTGTGAATGTGAATGGGATGAACTCTCCCATAAAATAAGAAAAGATAGCAGAGTGGATCAAAAGCCAGAATTCTACAATATGTTGTTTACAAGAAACATACTTGTAAATACAGAGACACACAGAGTGAAGGTAAAGGGCTGGAGCAGAATCTATTATGCTTCAGCTGAAGTAAAACAAAAAAAAAGCAAAGGTAGTAATCCTGATCTCAGACAGAACAAAAGCAAAAATAGACCTAATTAAAAGAGATAAGGAAAGAAACTACATCTTGCTAAAAGGTACCATAGATAATGAAGTAATATCAATGCTAAACATATGCACTGAGTGGTATAGCATCCAAATTCTTAAATGAAAAATTAAAGAAGTAGACAGCAAAACTATACTCATGGGGGACCTCAGCTGTCCCCTCTCAGAACTCAATAAATCCAACCAAAAATAAACAAGATAGAAACTAAGGAGGTGAATAGAATGTTAGAAAAGTTAGATATGACAGGCCTTTGGAGAAAACTGAATGGGAACAGAAAGGAATGTACCTTTTTTTTTTCTCAGCAGCTCATGGCACCTACACAAAAATTGTCCAGGTATTGGGGCACTGAAAACCTCAAAATCAAATGTAGAAAGGCAGAAATATTAAGTGAATTCTTTTCAGAGCAGTGAAGTCACCAAGCATTTATTAAACCCTTATCATGTGCAAGGCATAGTTCTACGGTTGGATATACAAATGAAGCTAGACACAGTCCTTCCCTCCAGGAGGTCACAGCCTAATGGGGAGAGGACATGCAAACAACGAAGTACAAACAGGCTTGAGACAGAATAAATTGGAGACAATCCACTGAGGGTAGGCATTAATTTTAAGGAGGGGAGGAGGCAGGAAAGAATTCTCCTTGGTGGTTTCCTGTATCTGTTGAAGGATGAAATCATCATTAAGGGAAGTGAAAAAAATTAGTTGCTCTACTTTTGTCAAAGAATAACCACTATTTGATATCTGGTTAATTGAAGTCTCTCCTCATTCCAATATCGTGTCTCTGTGCCAAGTTTGGGATGTTTCTGCTCTTTATCCACATGCCTTCCCCCGACCCTTCAGTTTGGGCGTGGCCAAACATGAGTATATTTGCTTGATGTGCCATGCTTCCCCCTGCCCCACTTTAATTAGATTGCATCTGGACATTTGAGGAGAATTTGTGATCCTTCTGCTTGTTTGCTGCTGAAATAACAGGCCTCCATCACACACACACAGAGATGCTCACCTAACAGTGCTTGCTTGTTACAACACTAGGGGGCACTACATGCCTATCCTGAAGTCACTCTGCTTACCCGTACTCAGGACTCACAACAAGGTACCTGCACGTGTGCTATACAACTGTTCCTGCTGGGGTAGTGGGGAAGGCTCATAGACAGAAGAGATGGGCCAGGGGTCACTCCTTTTTAAAAGTGCACTTCATGACTCTTCTTGCTTTATGGCCAATAAAAGAACTGCTTTTCATCTCACTCTTAAAAAAAAAAAGACTATTTAATTTTATTAATTTTTCCCCAGCAAACAAAACCAAGTCCTAGTTCTATTTGTAAATTTGATTGGTTGTTTGTTTCTTGCTCTTCTCTTCAGTTTGGTTAATCTCCTGATTTTTAGGATTTCCAATTTGATGTCGATTTGTTTTTTTAATTCACTGCTTCTGGGGTTTCTTTGAGTCTTTCGCCTCTGGTCTCCTTTCTCTCTTTTACTGAAGAAAGCACCTAGAGATAAGACTGTTCCCATAGGGAGGGCTTTACCTGTGTCCTCACCTAGGGATGTCAAACACATAACACTCCACTGATGCAGATTAAAATGTGATTAGAAAATATTGAATAAAATAAAGGCCAATTAAAACACAGACGATGTTAGTTTATAGTTGCCTAAGTCAATATACCTGTTTCCATTTCTCTTTGAAACCGCTGTCCTAAAGGTTTTGAAATACTGTTTTTCTTTCTTTCTTTCTTTCTTTTTCTTTCTTTCTTTCTTTCTTTCTTTCTTTCTTTCTTCTTTCTTTCTTTCTTTCTTCTTTTCTTTCTTCTTTCTTTCTTTCTTTCTTTCTTTCTTTCTTTCTTTCTTTCTTTTCTTTCTTTCTTCTTCTTTTCTTTCTTTCTTTCTTTCTTTCTCTTTCTTTCTTTCTTTCTTTCTTTTTCTTTCTTTCTTTCTTTTTTCTTTTCTTTCTTTCTTTCTTTCTTTCTTTCTTCTCTTTTGTCTTTCTTCTTTCTTTCTTTCTTTTTTTTTTTTTTGCTGAAATCATCTCTTATTTTAGCTCATCTTCAAGCAGCCAGAAGGAAGGGGCTGTCATTGTCTGGTCCCCCTGTTACTACAGTCATGGACTTAGATGTGGAAGGGAGACCACTGAGTCCAGCCCCCTGATTTTGCAGATGAGTTGAGTGACTTGCAAAGGGTCACACAAGAGTGGCCCTTAGCACCGATACCCTGAGATGTTTCCATGTTGGGAGCAAAGGAGGCACTCGTAAGTCATTGAACAGCTAACAAACGGACACCTCCTTAGTCCTAATGTAGAAGGGATGGGCTTCCAGGATACAGTGGCATTTAGCTTGCCGGCTTGGCCCCCTCTCAGGTCCATATAGAAAGGAGTGGTCAGCTGGACGACTGGGGGTGGTTATCAGAAATTCTCCAAGCAGGAGGGGCGGGGATTTGCCCTTAAGTGAAGTCCCACCCATAGTCCAGGAGGCCGGTCCAGTTAGGGAAATCTAATCTTTGGGGGTGGAGGGGATGGGGGATATGGACCTGGCATATGTGGTCCTGTCCCATTGCGCTGCCAAGTGTCAGGGCCATCACTGGAGGGCAGGTCTCCTGACTGCACGTGCAGCCCCTCGTCCTCTTGTGCTGGGTTTGGGCGAGGAGATGGCAAGTGCCTAAGGACCACCCCCAGCCCGTGAAAGGGCTGCCCGGGCATGCCCTCCTGCAGCAGCCCCCAGACCCCCGGCTTTTATTGTTTTCTCACTGCTGGGTCGCATCGGGGTATCGGAGCACAGCTGGGGAAGTGCCGGCTGTGTGCACATTAATCCTCCAGCCAGTCACCCAGCCTCTCCCAGGCAGGCAATAGATGAGCACTCATTATGCGCCTACTGTGTGCCTGCCCGGAAAACTAGGGGAAGGGGCGGCGCCTTCGGGGCGGCCGAAGCAGGACCACGCGGGCACGCACCACGTGGCTGAGGACCCTGCAGACCGAGCTCTAGGCCCGCTGAGTGGCGCTGACCAGGCCGGCCCAGGCCGCAGAGTCGCTGGCTCCTCCGCGCCTGGCTCTGACCATTGAACCAGTCTCCCTCCAGCTACCTACAGCCTTGATGGTCACAAGTCCACGGCTCGCTCTTCGCTTCGGGACTACATTTCCCAGAAGTACTTGCCCGCTGGGAGTGGCGCCGCGGACACCAGCAGGCGTCAGTTGTCATAGAAACCAGGCGTGGTGTGTTTGGGGAACGCTTCCTCGCCATTGGGGCAGCGGCGGTAGGGGGTGGGGCCAAAGGGGCTGTCTCCTCGATCACTTCCGCTCCGCCCTCGGTCTTCGGCAGCTGTCAGACTCTCACTGCGCTCTTGCCTCTGCCCGGTCCTGAGCCTCCACTGGTTCAGGGCCCCTCGTCCTGGCGGGGTGAGTGCAGGGGTTGGAGGCTTCTCTGCGGGGGAGAAGGAGGGGGGGGGAAGGAGAAGGCGGCGGCCGGAGCGCATTCGCTCAAGTTAGGCCCACGCCCTCCTCCTGTTGGGAGGGCGCGCGCGCACGTGTGAGGCCAAAGAACCAATAAGAGGCGCGGGCGCTCTCCAGGCCCCGCCCCCTCGCGCCCCTCCCTCGCGGCAGCCCCGCCTGCTGCCCCTCATACCGCCACAGCAGCCCCTTCGCCCGTAGCCAAAGGTTTCCCTGGAGGCTGCCGCAGCGCCCCACATCGGGACGAGCGCCCCGCCTCCCCAGCGCGCCCCCCACCCACCGAAGCAGCTTCCCGAAGCCCCCGGCTCTACAGACTCTGTTGGTTCCCCATGTCCCTGGCCCACCCCCACCGTCCCGTAGAACGTGGTCCTGGGAGGGGGGAGCACGGCGAAGCGTCACCGGGCCCGGCACATAGTGGGGCGTTTCACCCCAAAGCCTGGACAGCTTCCCACGGTGTCTAGAAGAGGAGGCAGACTTGCGAGCTCGCGACCACGTGGGAGGTCAATGCTGTCATGATCGCCATTTTACCAGGGGGAAACTGAGGCAGGCGGCGGCGAAGTCCAGGTCCCCTGACTGGGGAGTGCTCGAGACCAGGCTTGCCCCCGGCGCCCGGTGAAGGCCCCCTCCCACCCCCACTCCCACTCCCTGAAAAGCCTGCCTCCTGCTCCCCTTTCCACCCTGCGCTGGCCGCGCTCCGTTCTGGCCGCTCTGGAGCCGTGTCCTCCAGGTCCTGCCGTTGTCCCCTCGGCTCTCCTCCTGTCTCGGACCCGCGGGTCTGCTGGCTGCTGGCCCCGATGTCCCCGGGCTGGCCCTCATGCCTGGCTCCCTTCAGTGCAGAAAGGCTTTCCTCCCCGGGGAGCATCTCCTGTGGATCCCTAACTGTCCCCTTTGTGGGCTGTTTGCCTGTAGTGTCGCTTGGGGGCTCGTGGTCACCAAGGACCGTTCTTTCTTTCCTTTTTGTTCCAGCAGTTGGCACAATGCCTGGCTCATAGTAAGCACTGAACAAATGTTTGTTGACTAATAAAAATAATGATATCCTCTATAGAGCACTTTGAAGTTTGCAAAGCATTTTATAAATATAATCTTATTTGAGCTTCCCTGTAATCCTGGGAGGTAGGTGTTATTATTTATAATCCCCGTTTTACAGATGAGGAAACTGAGGCAGACTAGTGAAATGTCTTGCCCAAGGCCACACAGCTAGGGAGTATCCAGGGCAGGATTTGAACTCACTTTCCGACTTTAGGCTCACCCCTGTGAATCCGTGTATGTGTTGTATCTTCTCAGCTGGATGCAAGTCTGAGGGTGAGGGCTATTTTCTGTCTCTGTATCCTCAGGAGTGCCATGGACTGAATCAAGGGCTGCCTGTGTGGGCCCCCTCTCACCTCCCAGCTGGGTCTGGGAGCCCCAAGGCACAGCCAGGTCTCTTGATAGTTGGTGTTTCTTCCCCAGCCCTGCCTTCAGAGGACTCTGGCTTTCTCCAGGAGGAGACTTTGTGGAGGCCAAGGAGATGGCGCCCGTATTCCTGACAGCCCAGGCCCCACCACGTGAGTGGCAGTTTGTTCTTCTCCATGTCCTGTAACCCTTAGTGGAATGGTGATTTTGACCTGGAAGTGATCTTGGAGATGATCCAGACCAGAGGGGTCAAATACACCCCACAACACTCCTGAGTACAGCTCAAACCAGATTAAAATGGTATTGGGAAATATTTAGGTAAAAATGAATAAAAGTACAACAGAACACAGACAATGCTAGTTTGTGCTTAGCCTGGTATAAAGACAAGCTCTTATGGTCCCCATGCTTTTCACTGAGATCTCTAAGGACAGTTTAGTGCCCTCATATATCTTTTGATAGCTTAGATTTCTTCCTCCAAAAACTGCCTATTCATATCCTTTGGGGAAATGGCTTTTATTTTTATAAATTTGAAATCAGTTACCTTTATGCCTTAGAAATGAGACTTACTATAAATATTTTTCCCAACTTCTTGTTTCTCTTCTAATTTTAGCTACATTGCTTTTGTTTGTTCAAAATTTAATTTTATGAAATTAAAAATTGTCCACTTTACCACTTGTGAACTTCTCTATCTCTTGTGTTAGTCCTGAACTGTTCCTCTTATTCATAGATCTGACAAGTAATTTCTTCCATGTTCCTCTAATTTATTGATGATACCAGCCTTTCTGGCTCTATCATGTACCCATTTGGACCTTGTCTTGCTATATGGTGAGATGTTTGAAAGGCTGAGCTGTGTGACAGGTAATTGTGGGGCTGGGTTAAAACCTAGATGGAAACCCTGCCCGGGGTTAAGACAGAAGGGGAAGGTGGTTGGAGCTGGAAAGAGTCCATCTTGGCAGGTGTGATAAGACATTGCCGTGTAGTTAAGGGAATACTGGACTTGGCATAAGGGCAAACCTGGCTTCAAGTCCTGCTCCTGCCCCCACTCGGCCTGATAGCTGACTGTGATCCTAAGTCACTAGCCTCTCAGCCTCAGTTTCCTCTTCTGTGAAACATGAATGGCATCACCTGTAGCACCTACCTGTTGTGAAGATCCAGTGGGACGAAGTGCCTGATTCTTATGTCAATAGAAGTGGCTGACTAACCTGTCTGGATAAAGGATCATGTTCTGAGAAGAACCATCTTGTTTGGGGTGGGGGTGGGGTCTGGCCATATTCAGGAGGGGGTGCAGAGGGCACAGTGTGCCATGGGAGGAGCCACTGGACTAGGCCTGTTCCAGGTAATGAGATTAAATGAGCGCCTAGAAAGCGCTTTGGCAGGGTTCCCTCACACACTGTGACAGTGGCTGCTTTTACTGAAGCCAACAGCCATGCTGAGCGTGACTGAGATGGAGCAGAGGAAGAAATGGAAAGGGGATATTTGTTCTCCAGCAAAAATGATGCAGACGGTGGGTGGAAGGTGCTGCCTGTACCTGTAAATTTCTCCGGAGGAGTGTGGCCTATTTAATTACAAGAGACTTCTCATTTCACATCTACTCTCAGGGTTAGTGTGTGGAAGCACCTGCCTGTGTTTGCTGGTGAGGTGAAAGGCTGAACTTGGAAGACGGAACAAGAGGGGCCCCCATTGTGGTTTCCTGGAGGGGAGGCAAGGGGAGCAGCTTCAGCTCTAGTACGTGTCTGTGTCATTGTCGATGTGCCTCTGGCCTTCAGCTTTCTTGTCTGTAAAGTGGGCACAATTAATACCTGCACTGTCTGCTTCTCAGGGTTGTGAGGAAAGTCCAGGGTAAAGCAGCTTTCCTGATTCTGGTTTTCTCCCATGAGCCAGGATCTGGTACAGACTGAGGCACAAGCTTATTACTAGATCCTTGGCTCCATAACCAAGAGTGCGAAAGAGGACCACTTGCGATAGGGTTAACACCCACATATTTGGCATTTCAGGGTCCATGACATTGCAGGATGTGGCTGTGGACTTCACCCCTGAGGAGTGGGGACACCTGGACCCTTCGCAGAAAGAGCTGTACCGGGATGTGATGCTGGAGAATTATACAAGTCTGGTCTGCCTGGGTAAGGATAGCTCCCCCAGGGATCCAGGCTCTGCCTACTGGTTGGCCTCAATTCTCCATTAGTAAATGATATGAGATGCATTACATGTTGAAGAGTTATTGTATAGCATGGAAAGGCCAGAGATTCCTTATCCTTTTGTGACTGGTTCACAGGGGAAAGGTATTTCCTTGGTGGAGCAGGAGACTTTCAGCTTGATGGTGTTGACGTTGGGGTCCTAGCTCCAATCCTCCTTTCTCTCCTTAACTCCCCTGGTAGGTACCTGGAATCAGGGAATTCCCCATCTTCTGAGCCCAGCCCTGCTCTGTAACCCATTCCTCCACACTTCGTAGGGACACAGTGTGGAACATGGTCCCAATACCCTCCTTCCCTTCCAAGCAATCCCCCTTTTCCCCAGAAGAACAAAGGGCCAGGATCAAATTCAAGGGTGGATCTCTGTCCTTGGCACTTTCTCATTTCCAATGAACAGGCTTTGCAGATACTAAACCCAATGTGATCAACCAGCTGGAGCAAAGAGAAAGGCCTTGGATGCTGAAGGGAGATGTCCCAGCCAGCTTGTGTCCAGGTGAGTGCAGGTGACTCCTAAGTCTCAGGCCACCTGGCTAGTGAGGGGAAGAATTGCCTTATTCCTGTAAGAGAGGAGCTGGGGGTCTGACAGGAACTCCTTCAGAGAGACTTAGAGCACACCCAATTAAGTTAGCCCTATCACAGCAACAAAGTTTACCAGGTACTTGAAAATTTACTCAGTAGGAATTCCACTATAGAAGACTTGCACAGAGTTGATAAGAAATTATGATTAGATAGTTCCAAAAACCCTTGTCTTAGTTAACAACCTCACAATCTGACAGTACAATTCTTGATCTAACAACATCTAGATTATAAGAGAAATTGCTTTTTTTTTAACAACACAGTGATACAATTGTTAACCAAATTACACAATATAGGAAAATTTAGAAATATAACCATACTACAAGCAATTGTCATGTATTTAAAGCTTGACACAGAACCAGTTAATTACCAATCAGGTGACCTTAAATTTAGTTGGATGAGCAAACAAGATCTGGATTCATAGTCACTAATGGTAACATTTTAATTTCTAAGGCCCAATACTCTTAGCACTTTAAAAGACAAGATTATTAGCCATAAATGCACTTTTTTTCCTAATGCACTTTTTTTTTTAAGACACATGGTGACAATTCCCAATTCCCCAGCACCCAGAGATTGAAAGAATTGGCAGAAGTGGACATAAGCTTCTGGATAGAGAGTCTGTCCTCTATGCCACGGAAGGTGTGCCCAGGTCCATGGCCTCAAACTGCTGGACCCAGAGCCTGAGAGGTCAGGCTGAGTGTGAGACAGCCTTGTAGCTGTCTGACCCATTTGGTCAGACCTGAGAGGTCAGCCCTACCTAGGTGCTTGGAGAGCCACCCCAACTACAGGGTGAAGAAAGGGATAGGGAGAGAAAGGAGGCTTACATACCTTCCAGTCTCAGCTGGAGTAGAGTTCCTTGTTTCTTTTATCTTGAGACTTATCAGATAAGCCTTAAGCATTCCAGCTCTCCATTCCCATCCTCCTGGGAATTTCAAGCTGCATGTATTAGAAAATGAGACCCAGAAACGGGGCACAGGGACCCCCAAAGAAAACCAGGCTCTAAGGCCCACAGGGCATGGACACCCTGAAATGGGGCACAGGGACCCCCAAAGAAAACCAGGTGCAAAGACCTGCCTACCCACCTCCCCCAACGTCCCACGGGGGAAGGGGAAGGAACAACACAGGGTAAACTAAGGTGTAGGGGATAGTCTGCTCAAACAGAGCAAGGTGCCTTTTCCTTAAGGTTTGGAGACCAAATTTCTTACTAAGCTTGTCTTGTTCAGAAATCCCCTTTACAAATTATTTTTCTAGATTACATTGAGATCAGGCTGTGTTACAATGGAAAACTAGTCTCTTTTCTTTAAGATCTCCTTCGCTGAATTCCCCATCCTAGTGTAATGCAGAACATTATTTTACCATTTAGGTAGTAGGGCCCTTTAAGCCACGGAAAGCAGAAATTACTGCTTAATCTTGCCCCAGACCTCTCTCCTCCTAAATCTAAACAATAGTGAAATGTACTCTTGCATAGCTCAGCATAGCCCATACCTCCAACGCAAATGGATAAGAAAGCTTGCAATATAATTGCTTTAGATAATTATGTTTATACCAGAGACCAGGACACCTGGTCTGGTTTGTGTGATCTCTGACCTGTAATAATGGGGTGCTTGGGTGCTTGTGCTTGTACTTGTGCCCCAATTTCTCCCTCGTCTCAGAAACAGTGTCTCTAATAACCACTCCCCAGCCCAAGGACACTGTGCCTAGCAGTTATTCATGCATGGGCCTCAGCATGACCTTTATCTCTCTTCCTGGTACAGCTACACAGAGCTGGGCTGCTTAGGCCCCAGCCCTCAGATCATGTCTCTGGAAGCCTCCCAATTCCTTAGTGAGTTCCTGTCTTGTGAGAAAGCTTTCCCTTGTTGCAGAGCATTCTTTCATCAAGACAGAGGGAGAGAGGTGTCCTTGGCCAGCCCAAGGACTCTTCCTCCTACCAGACTCCAAAGATCCATACCTCTGTCATCTCCTTCCCTGTCTGGTATACTCCCTGTACTTTCCCACCCATAGCCCCCAAAGACACCTGCACCTTTGGATTACCTCATCAGTGTTCCTGGCATTTCTTTCCCACTCTCTTTTCCATATAAACCCTAGCTTGACCCCTGATCAGGGCTGCTTGTTTGGGTGTGCATACCCCTTGCAGCCAAGCACTAATAAATCCACATTTTAAATTACATCTGGGTCTTGCTCGCTGATTTCTCAGTACAACACTAGCAGTCTGCTAGCAGCCTCTTGCTTGTCTTAGCGTCCCAAGACACTTGAGAGGAAAAAAATGTGACCAACCCAGCTCAAGGGCATCCCCTTATACGAGGGTCAACAGTCCGACTGACCACCCAGAGGTGGTCAGTGAAGCTTCGGATGCCGCTGGCAGTGTCTGGGCACTCCAGGGGTCTCTCAGCCAGGGAGACAGTAGGAGCAGAAAAGGTCTGGGGAAGAGAACAAAGAAAAGGGTGCTTACCTATTATCCCAGTGGCCAGGAGAAGATCAGCGGAGGTCAATTAATATTTGGACTCCCGGGTTTCGGCACCATTTTATGTTGAGGTTTAGAGTTGGGAGAGCTGGTTCAGGTGTGATAGAATTCACTTAGACCTTCTCTGTACCCATTGGGAGCTTTATTGACAGAAAAGCAGCAGGCTAGCTCTGGAAAGAGGACTAGCAACTTAAAGAGGGATAGGGGTCTGTTTTATCTTACCAGATAAGGGGAGGGGTTGTCATGACACAGGATGAGGAAGATGGATGGCAGGATAGGGGACCTAGGATAAGGAAGATGGGAAATTTTATAACTCAGGATGAAGGAGACAAGGAATTTTTATGGTCCAGGATAGGGGCAAGTTTCATGGTATCTCAAGATAAGGGAAACAAAGGCAATTCTTTTGGTGCAAGTTGTATGGCATTTTGAGATAAGGGGCAAAGGACTTGGGAAGTTTTCAAGATCTAGGGTTTCAAGGTACAGGATGGGTGACAGAAAGAGCCTCAAACCCCCTCAGGGGCCTGGGAAAGTAACCCTTCATATTATTTTTATTCCTAGGGCACTCTTTGCCCCCCACATCATGGAGATGTCCTTGAACTCCTGAGGGATAATCTCCTCTTGCCATATCAAGTGGAAAATTTCAGTCATCTTTTGTACGAGCAATGGACCCCCTACCTTGTAATTCTCAGCTGGAATAGAATCAGCACCAGGGGCTTGGCCATAGGAGCCTAATGGCATTCAAACCTCTTCTTCAGTTAGAAGTTCAGCTGGAGAGGAACTGACTTCAGCCTGAGATAAATGATCAGTGGCCTCAGCATAGATTGATGATGGTCTGTTGAGAGCACTAGGGAGGTATTGGAATATGGACTGTTGCCTAAGGACAGTAGGAAGCCATGGAGCTTCTAGAGCAGGGGAGCAACCTCCTGAAACCTGTTCCCTTTAGGAATGTGTTTGGCGATTGTGTGGAAGATGGATGGGAGTGGCTGGATGTCGGGAGGCCAACTGGGACTGTTTTAGTAGTCAGAGGGTCCTAGATTTAGGACTTCAGACACCATCTAGTCCAACCCCTTCCTTTTCTCCAGGAAGCGAAACAACTTACCCAAGGTCTCCGGTAGTGAGCATCAGAGGGGGGTTTGAACCATGATCCTCTGCCTCCCAAACCAATGAGCCCTCTTTCCACTAGGTCACCTTATAGCCTATAAACGTGAAGTGGAATTTATACCAAGCTCCGTCTAGGCCAAGAAGCCTTTCTGAAGTGCCAGGCCAAGGCCAGGGCTGTGTGAATGGAGAGCACATCCCTTGGGGCAGTACCTGCATCTCCTGCTTTGATTCTCAGGACAGTCCTGGGAGTCAGGCACCATTGTTGACATAGATTTGGCATGGAGATGCTTTTGTGTGGGACAGCGACCATCGAAATCAAGAGTTTGGAGTCTGAATCAGAGATCAGAAAAGGTCTTTATTCTTTCTCATGAGAAAGGGCGCCACCCTGTGGCTGCTCAAGCAGCAGCAGCCAGGGACTGCTCCCCTGGCTGTGAGAAGCAAAGTTTCGTAGCCCTAAGGCGTCTCCCCTCCCACTCTCTTACCTCTTTCCCCCACTGGCACATAATCTAAACGTGGCAACTAATACCCAATAGAAGTAAACATACCCATATTTGGGAAGTAGATGTATGCCTGCGCCAGAGCTTCCTGACCAGGAACTGCCTGTGCTGATGTGGATTTTTGAGAAAGGAGAAGCTCAACTCAGGGCTTTGGCCTGAGGGAACTGCACTTCAGGCCACCTCTCAAGCTATGGAGGAAAAAGAGATTTTGCAATGCATTCCTCACGTGGCAGGAGTGAAAGCAGTCATTAGAGATCGTTTCTGTATTATACATACACTTGCAAATTCTCAATGATCCAAGTACCATCATTTAGGAACTCCATAACCCAAACAAGCTCTTTTCCCAGGGCTGATGACCTTGCCCACAAAGATGATTTTCAGGAACCTGGCAAGTTTACAAAATCAGGGGAATCAACAGGGACCCCAGAGAAGGGGCTGATCTTGATGACTCTGCCGATGATATTTTTCCTCTGGACTGATATAAACCTCGCATTTTCTGGGAAGCAAGTCTCCTATTTTTAGTCCTCGTTTAGTTTTGCACTGACTGAATTTTCCCCACATCCTTCTACGGCTACCTACTTGCCTGGATGTCTTTCAGGGTTCCCATACAGCATCATGCCTTTTGCACTGGTATTTATCCGAGTGGACATGGTTTGTTTTTTTCTAAGATTCCAGTATATGGTAGCTGGCACATGGTTGCCTCTGGTCACCCCCTACTGCCCTACATAATAGGTGACCTTGGGAGTAAGGGATATCCACTCCATCTGCCCTTAGAACAGCTGTGGGCTATGCTCTTTGACACCACCCTTCCTCCAAGGTGGAATAGACTAGCCTTGAGGATTGCTTTGAATGGGCAGAACCAATCCAGATAAGGCTTTCACCTCATCCCCTCCCTTCCACACAGTAATCAATCACCAAGTTTAGGTTTTAACATCAAAACAATAACCCCAAATAACTTAGTTAGTAATCTTACAATTTTCATAAATGATGGCCAGACTGATTTAGCCATAACTGCTGCTTAGCTATAGGCAAGAGTGAAAATGCCCAGTTTTCTAAATAGCAGTTACAGAACATTATAATCAGAGATATGCAGGCAAGAGGGCTAGCTCAGAGTTCTGTGCATATCTTGCTTAGACAGGTCATCATTTCATTGACCAGTCCATTTGCCCAGGGTAGAGGGGACCCTGCTATACTCGTCACCCTCACACACTGTGTCAGTGGCTGCTTTTACTGAAGCCAACAGCCACACTTACTGAGTCTGAAATGGAGCAGAGGATAAAATGGAAAGGGGTGTTTGTCCTCCAGCAAAAATGATGCAGACTGTGAATGGGAAGTGCTGCCTGTAACTGTAAATTCCTCTGGACTAGCGTGGCCTATTTCATTAGAAGATGTTTCTCATTTCAAATCTGCTGTGAGGGTTAGCCAGTGAAAGCACTTGCCTCTGGTCACTGTTGAAATTAAAGGCTAAACTTGAAATCTGGAGCAAGAGGCAGCCCCCATGGTGGTTTCCTGGAGGGGAGAGAAGGCAGGCCATCCTCAGCTCTGGTACAGTGTCTGTGTCATTGTTCATGTTTCTGGGTGATGGTCATTTTGATGCCCCTGCACAAATTAGTAAGCCTTTTCTGAGTTTTTGTGATTAGGTGGGTATCAGGGATGACATTGGTGAACTGAGTAAAAGAGTCTCTGGTTTCAGAGAGTTAGCTATGTTAATTCTGTTAGGATAAGAGTGCTTTAGGACCAAATACCCACTGATGTATTATGTGTCAATGGTGTTATTACAGATTATAGAATTTTGTAGGATTTGCATATTTGTATTTGATGTACAGGATTTGTAGATGATAATACAAATTCTGGTAACTCTGTTAATAGAAAAGCACAGTACATGTGGCCCTGAGGCTCAGCTGCGCCCTCAGCCCCAGGAGCTATCATCACTGCTCCCTAGGGACGAGTCCTCACGCCCAAGACCTTCCTGGACTCCCAGGTGACAGCTGACCTAATGCCAACTGTTTAACTTCCCTGGAAAACTTGTACTGGGTTGGGGGAGCAGGGAGCAGAGAGAGGGAGCAGAAGCCGGTGGGGGTGGGGCCGCCACAGCAGCGTCTCCTCTGACTGGCTCAAAACTCCAGGCGTGGCCTGGCGGGGAGGGGGGAGGAGCGGATTCCCCAGGCCCCAATTCCAGCCAAGGAAGAAAAAGGGGGCGTTGCCCGGGAGACTCACAAGAACGCCCCGCCCCTAGGAGCTCGGCGATGGGAGCGTTCCTCGCCAAGGGAGCTACTGCGCAGACGCGGAAGTTCATGCTTCCTGTTCAGTTTCAGAGCCGTCCAGAGACACGTGAGGTTTTATGTCCTGTCCATGGCAGCGCTCCTCCTGCGTCCCGGGCGAGGGGTGGCCGGTGGGGGAAGGGGGGGCGCCTGGGACCCCCGCCCCCTCCTCTCCCCGGCCTCTCCGCCCCTCTCCTTGCCTTAGTTGGTTCCTCTCTGAAGTGGGGAGAAGGCTCGTGGACCCTTGGGGGGCTCTCAGTGAGGCGGGACCGCCCCGCCCCCTTCCTCGCTTCTCCCTCCTCACTTTCCCCCTCTCCTTTCCCTTTTTTTCGCCCCCTCCCCGGATCTTTCTTCTCATTCTCCCTCTCTTCTCATCTCCCCTCTCCTGCTCTGCTTTGACATAGAGGACCCCCACCCAGCGCCAAGCCCCACCCCTTACTGCCCCAGGTATCACCGCCCCTCCCTCCCCACGTGACCAGGCCTTTCTAGGATTCAGACGCACTGGGAAAGAAGCCCACAGCCCCAGCCCAAGGGGCCCCCTCCTCCAGCTGCCCCTGCCCCCTCCCTCCTCACGTGACCTGGCATTTCTGGGGGAGAGGGGCATAGGGTGGGCTTTTCTGTCTCCTTGGCATCTCTAGCACCTAGAATTCAGCGAAGCATACAGTGGGCGCTTCATCAGTGCACGTTGAGTTGACCTGAGTCCTGGACACAGACAGGCTGCCTCCAGGGTCACTATGGGCATTTCCCAGGCAGAGGCAGGTCTGGGGTGGAGGGGGAAGGGCCCACCCCCCTCATGGCTGCCTTTTCCTTTCCAGCTCTGCCTCGTGGGACCCCAGGGGCCTGGGTACGGGCCAGAGCGGGGAGCAGGAAGGAGCCAGAATGGGCCCCGAGTTCCTCACCAGCAGGCCCCCCCAGGTAAGCAGCATGGTCCTCCTCCCTGACAGGTGTCTCAGGTCACAGTGTAGACAGGTCCTTTCTCAGTGCTCTCTGTCCTCAGAGCACCTGGGCAGATTCAGTCCCCAGACCACAGTGGTTAGAGTTCTGACTGTGCCAGGGCCAGATAAAACCCCCCATTTGGCATTTAATGCTCTGCACAAACTGAGCCCTTCTACCTTCCGTGTCTTAGCATGTTAAAGTCCTCCCTGCTTCCTGTGGCCCAGCCAGCCTGGCCTGTTTTCTGTTCCTCACACGTGACCCCCATCTCCTCTGCCTCTGCTTCCCCTCCCTGCCTGGAATGCTTTTCTCCCCTCACCTTGCCCCTCTTGGAGACACTGACTTAATCTGCCAATATTCAGCTCAAGCCCTGACTTTTATAGGAACCCACTCCTGGTCTCCTCAGCTGCTGGGGCCTTGCTGAACCCTCAGGACAGCTGCTGTGCCTGCTGCCTCCCCATTAGACTGTGAGCTCCTTGAGGGCAGGGACTGCTTTTGTCCTCATTTGTATCCCCAGGGCTCAGCACAGAGCCTGACACAGGGCAGACACTCCATCAAGTGCTTATGGGCTTGACAATGAGTGTTCTTGTATTACATGATTCAGAACCTGAGGCATGTAATAAATGCTCCTTGTGATTTTCCTTTGAACACTCTGCAACCTGAATATACTAAGAATCAGTCCTTCTGATTCCTGTTCCCCTTCACTCCCCTTCCCACATCCATGTGGGTTGTGGTCCCTGGACAGGCACAGATTGATTTGTTTCAGGAATCAGTGACCTTCAAGGATGTGGCTGTGGACTTCACCTGGGAGGAGTGGGGCTACCTGGACACTTCCCAGAAGGAGCTTTACTGGGAGGTGATGCTGGAGAACTACAGGAACCTGGTCAGCCTGGGTAAGGAGGCTCCTCTGGGGACTTGGGATCTGCCCCAAAAGGTTGTTTGCTTCCTTCTGCTGGGGCTGGGTCTACTGTTCAGCACTGTTGCTTTGGCCTGTAAGAAAACCAAGCATTTGTTACTTGCAGTGAGGCCAAGAGACAGGGTTCTTGTGCTCTGCCTGGTCCCAGCTGAAGGGCTCTTGCTTTGTATGGCTGGAAACTGTCTGCTTCATTGTGTGAGCCTGCTCCAGCTCTCTCTCTTCAGGCCAGGGAGGCTTTCTCAAGTCCCAGGGCAGATACTGAAGTCAAGAAAGCTGCCAGATGCCTCAGCATTGAATGGGTCAAATGAACTCATTGTCTCTCTGAACCCAACTCCATTCTTTATCCCATTGCTGTGTCTTCCCAGGAAAAGAAACCAGATCACCCTTCAGATGTTTTCTGTATGCTCCTTCACAGCCCCCAGATTCCCTGGCCCTTCTTTACTTGCTCCTAGGGGTTGGTGAGGCATGGGCTGTGAGGTGACCATACCTGTCCACCACTGTGCCATTTCCCTTGACTAGGCCTTGCAGATTCCAACGTGAACATAATCTCTCAGCTGGAGTCAGGGGAAGCACATGGGATTCCAGTGGATAGAGTCCTAAGAAGCTGCTGGCCAGGTGAGTGTGTGAGTGAGTGCCCACACTCAGTACATTTGGGCACCTCATGAAAATGGGCACATTTGTGAGTCCTCTGGATGACTTTTTTGGTCATGAGATCTTTTTTTTTCTTTTTTTTTTTAAAGGCAATTGGGGTTAAGTGACTTGCCCAGGGTCACACAGCTAGTAAGTGTCAACTGTTTGGTCTGAGATCAGATTTGAACTCAGGTCCTCCTGACTGCAGGGCCAGTGCTCTATCCACTGTGCTACCCAGCTGCCCCTCAGACAGCAATCTTACAGCTCATTTCTGCCCACTCTCTAGTTTGTTTGGATGTTGTTGCCTTTTATACCAGAGTCACTTGATAGGGAGAAATACAAATGATTCTGTTGGTGCCTTCAGAATGCAGGAGCGCTGCTCCACTGTGGGTGGAACTTTGAATTATTTCCATCTTTTTGGAAAGCAAAGTGGAATTCTGCGGCGTACGAGCTCCTCAGAACTTCCTCTTCTTAGACCCAGTGATCACATTCTCATGACTCCCAGGGGTGATATTCAGATGAAGAATTTTCCCAAAAAAAAATACTTTAAGGTACTTTGTTCATATTGGTGTATGGGACAGAGCAGTTGTTCGTAGTTTCATTAATTGTGCATTATCTCTATCAGTTTTGGCATATTCCCCTCCTATAATACTGGGCTAAATGAAAGGATAAGCTTGGTGAATTCAAAGTAATTTTGGAAACCTTAAGAATTGATTTCACTTCACTTGGAAAAAAACACATACATTGCTTATATGAGACAGAATATTGGAAAAAGTAAAGTGTACAGAAAGGCTTATTCATACAAGGAAAAGGACATTTACACTTTTTCTTTCCTTCAGATGGGGACACCAGGCCTCAGACCAAGGAGTCAATGCCAAAGTTAAGTATGTCTATAGAAGTCTTATCCCAGCAAAAGTCCTTGTGTAATGACCCATGCATCTCCAAAATGGGGAAAACTTGGGAGTGTTGTGTCAACAGCAATGAGGAGAAACTCTCTAGACAAGGAAAAGTAATCCAAGCAGAAACTGCTGATGAAGTCAGAGGCTGTGAATACAGTAGATGCAGCCAAACCGTGAGCCCAGAGCTAGTCCTTTTTCCAAAATGTGGAATGTCTGTAGTAATGGATCTCCATGAGAGTGATACCCAGAGAAGGAGCTTGGAGTCAGACCAAAGACGAAGTAATCAAATCCATTCACAGAAGAAATATTCTGAGGTTAACAAATGTCAGAAAGCTTTTGGTTATGATTTGGACCAAATTCAGAAACATGGAATTCATGCTGAAGAGCAGCTTCAAGAAAGTGGGAATTCTTTCTTCCCAAATAATGAAGTTACTCTATGCCAGAGAACTCATGCAGGAAAAATGTCTTCTGAATTGATTAAATGTGGGAAGACATCCTGTCAAACGGCAGATCGTACTCTACACACTAGTATGGAAAGTCAAAACGAATCTCACAAGTGCAGTGACTGTGGAAAAGTCTTCCAGCACAAGAAAAGTCTTACAAAACACTGCAGATTTCATACTGGAGAAAGACCCTATGAATGTAATGACTGTGGGAAGGCATTCTTTTCAAGAAGTGACTGTACCCAGCACCAGAAAACTCATACAGGAATAAAACCACATAAATGTAGCTTATGTGGGAAAGCGTTCCTTCGCAAGTCCCATCTTACCAAGCACAGTCATATTCATACTGGAGAAAAGCCATATGAATGCACAGAATGTGGGAAGATCTTCCGCCAGAAGTCACATCTTAGACAGCACTTCAACATTCATACTGGGGCGAAACCATTTAAGTGCAGTGATTGTGGAAAGACATTCCGATCAAACTCTAGTCTTACTCTGCACCGGAGAACTCATACTGGAGTAAGAAACTCTTATCAGTGCAGTGTGTGTGGGAAAACATTGTCTCAGAAGTGTGGTCTTACTAAGCACAGTCGTATTCATACTGGAGAGAAACCATATGACTGCAGTGTATGTGGAAAGGCATTCACTCAGAAGTCTGGTCTTATAAAACATAGTAGTGTTCATACTGGAGAAAAACCTTTTAAATGTAGTCATTGTGGGAAAGACTTTCCCCGCAGTGCAGCACTGGCTCGACATCAGAGAACTCACACTGGAGAGAAACCCTATGAATGTAATGAATGTGGAAAGGCCTTCACCCAGAATTCAAATCTTTCAGTGCATAAGAGAATACATACCAGAGAGAAACCCTATGAATGTAATGAATGTGGAAAGGCCTTCACCCAGTTTTCAAATCTTTCAATGCATAAGAGAATACATACCAGAGAGAAATCTTAGGAATGTGATTAATGCAGGAAGGCTTCCCCCAGATCAGAGCACATATTCAACATTATAGAACTTGTGATGGAGAGAAACCTTATTAATTTAATCATTGCAGAAGAATACTCTGATGGGCTGATCTGGATTAGAATGTAAGAGGGCAGTATTTTAGCTGTATGCCCAATTCATTGGTTTCCTCTTTTTCTATTTTATTTATGTAAGCATTTAGAGATGTAAAACTTCCCCTAAGAGCTGTTTTCCCTGCATCCTATAAGATTTGGTATGTTGTCTCATTATTGTCATTCTCTTGAATGAAATTATTGATTTTTTCTATGATTTGTTGTTTGACCGAATGATTTTTTAGGATTAGATTATATAGTTTCCAATTCTTTTTAGTCTGTCTTTCTATGGCCCTTTCTTACATATAATTTTTATTGCATCATGATCTGAAAAGGATGCGTTTAATATTTCTGCCTTTCTGCATTGGGTTGTGAGGTTTTTATGCCCTAGTACATGGTCAGTTTTTGTATATGTGCCATGTACCGCTGAGAAAAAAGTATATTCCTTTCTATCCCCATTCAGTTTTCTCCAGAGGTCTGTCATACCTAACTTTTCTAATGTTCTATTCACCTCCTTAACTTCTTTCTTGTTTATTTTGTGGTTAGATTTATCTAGTACAGAGGGGGAGGTTGAGGTCCCCCACTAGTATAGTTTTGCTGTCTATTTCTTCCTGTAACTCCCTGAACTTCTCCTCTAAGAATTTGGATGCTATACCATTTGGTGCATATATGTTTAATAATGATATTACTTCATTGTCTGTGGTGCCTTTTAGCAGGATGTAGTTTCCTTCCTTATCTCTTTTGATTAGATCTATTTTTGCTTTTGCTTTGTCTGAGATCAGGATTGCTACCCCTGCTTTTTTTACTTCAGCTGAAGCATAATATATTCTGCTCCAGCCTTTTACCTTTACCCTGTATGTGTCACTCTTTTTCAAATGTGTTTCCTGTAAACAACATATTGTAGGATTATGGTTTTTAATCCATTCTGCTATCCATTTCCATTTTATGGAAGAGTTCATCCCATTCACATTCACAGTTATGATTACTATCTGTGTCTTTTTCTCCATCCTTTTTCCCCCATTTATGCTTTTCTTTCTCCTTTCTCCTTTCTCCCCCTCACTAGTGTTTTGCTTTTGACCACCACCTCCTTCAGTCCCTCCTCCCTTCTATTATCCCTTTCCCTTTTCCCTTAGTGCTTCTTCCCTCCCTTTTCTTTCCCCTTTTCCTTCCTACTGCCTATAGGGCAAGTTAGATTTTCATACCTAACTGATTATATTATTCCCTTGTTGAGCCAAATCTGATGAGAGTAAGTTTCAAACAATGCTCACTCTCCCCCCTTCTTTCCCTGTGCTGTAATACGATTTTGTGTCTTTTCCTCTAATGTAATTTACCCTTGTCTGCCTCCTCCTTTCTCAGTACATTTTCTAAGATCAGATTAATCCATTTAATTGGATCCATTTAACCCACTTGATTAGATTTTTTTTTATCATTACATCAAAGTCAACTAATATCCATCCTCTTTATGTATACTCCTTTAATAAGGTATAACAACAATATAGTTCTCAAGAGTTGCAAGTGTCATCTTCCCTTGTAGGGATGTAACCAGTCCACCCTTATTAACGACCTATTGTATCTTTTTTTCCCATTTACCTTTTTATGTCTTTCTTGAATCTTGTACTTGAAGAACAAATTTTTTGTTGAGCTCTGGTCTTTTTATCAGGAAGCTTTGGAAGTCCCCTATTTCGTTGAATATCCATCTCCTCCCTTGAAAAATCATGCTCATTTTTGCAGGGTGGTTGATCCTTGGCTGCAATCCACGCTCCTTTGCCTTATGGAATATCATGTTCCACACTCTGGGGTCTTTTAATGTAGAAGCTGCAGAGTCCTGTGTAATCCTGACTGTGGTTCCATGATATTTAAATTGTTTCTTTCTGCTTGCAGCACCTTCTCTTTCATCTGGTAATTTTGGAATTTTTCTATTATATTCCTTGGCTTCTGGCCAAGAGAGCCACTGTGAAACTCCCCAGGGCTAGGAAGCCCATGTAGCCCAGGATGCAGTAGAAGCCAATATCAGAGCCCTCATACTGAATGTGATGTGACCAGTTCAGAGTGGAGGTCCACGTCTAGGGAGGGCAGAGATGTTCCCAGCCAGATGCCACAGAGAATCACCTGAATCCCAGAGCAAAGGAGGACAACACAGTTGGACACTTTAGATTGCACCCATATTCTGCTCCTGCTTCCTGGTATTGTAACCTTGAAGGCCAGAACCACCATAATGGTTTTTGCTAAAATGGAAGAAACAGCTACAGTGAAGACAACCCCCAATATTGTTGTCTGAGGAGGCAGGTGGCTGCAGTGGGATGGCCAATGAAGAGCAAGGAGCAGAGAAAAGAGAAGGTGAGGGAGATGAGGGGAATATGGCTGAGAGCCTGGTTATTGGCCTTGACTGTGGGAGTGTCTCGGAACTGGACAAATATCCAGAGAATCACGACCGTCGGCACCAAGAAGAAAAGGGCCACACAGGCTAGGGACATCCCCAGAGGTTCTTTGATATCCAGAAGGTAATGGCTTTGAGGGGCAGTGATCTCTCTCCTTGATTGGAGACTCCCCTTCTGGGCACTTCATACAATGCTTCATGTCTGTAGGGGACAAGAAGTAGCTCATTGTTCTGTGCTGACTAAATTTGCTGTGTTCTCAGAACCAGGAACCAGGCACAATGGCTCTGCTCATCCTTCTGGCTCCAGAATTATAGCCCTCAGGCTATAATTGAAGACTGTACCACTGGAGGGCACCTCGATGATCAAGCCCAGTTCCACTGAGCCAATATTCTTTATAACTTGTGAGGCTGAGATCGTGTTCTGTCTCAGGATTTCTCTTTCCCTATTGGAGAAAAGAGTTCCTCAGTCTATCAATGCTCATACTGCAAGTGTGCTCCATGCTGCTTCCCCAACATGAATCATTATAATAATGATAATAATAGCTGCCATTTATATAGCACCTACTATGTGCCAGGGACTGTACCAAGGGACTTTACAACTGTCATCTCATTTGATCCCCACAAGAATCCTGGGAGGTAGGGGCTATGAGTATTCCCATTTTACAGATGAGGAAACTGAGGCCAGTATAAGTTAAGTGACTTGCCTAGGGTCACACAGCTAGTAAGCATGTGAAGCTGGATTTGAACTTGGGTTTTCCTGACTCTGGGCAGCTAGGTGGTACCTTGGATAGAGCACCAGGCCTGGAGTCAAGAAGAATCACTTTCCTGAGTTTAAACCTGGCCTCAGACATTTACTAGCTGTGTGACCCTGGGCACAGGAGGACATGGTATACCACTCCAGTATCTCTGCCAGGAAAACCCCAAATGGGGTCCCGAAGGATTGGACACGACTGAAATGGCTGAACAACAGCTTCCAGACCCCAGGCCTGGCACTGTGTCCACTGTGCCAGTGACGTGGCTAACGTGTCCTCACATTTGAGAACTGAGTCCCTAGAACGCACTGAGCTGTTCTTAGGTTCTCCAGGTGGTGGGACGGTCTGGCCCTCCTCTAAAACCATAGCTCATAGGGCTCTACTGCTCTGCTTCCCTCTGACAATAGACATAAGTAGCTCATAGTAGGTTCTGTTTATCATGTTGGTTTTTTACTGAAATAGAAGAGTAAAAAATAGTTTACAAATCATTCCCCTCAGAAACATACTTCACGCTTTCCCGAAATATCTGTGGCACTTGTGGAATGAGTGGACATAATCTTTGGCTGTTATTAGAGTGTGGCCGATGAGAAAGGAACATGGCCTGAGCTCCTTGCTTCTCCAGTCCAGGGATGCCTCAGAGTCCTTTCTCTCTTCACAGAGTCCTCTTTGCAGCCAAACTTTCATTGCCAGGACTAGTTTTCTTGAGTCCACAGTGGGCTTTCTTCCTTTCTGCCAGAGGTCACATTCCTTGAAGCTGCTTCAAGTGTCAAGCAATTGTTTCCCTGTGTTGGTGTGTGCCTGGAGAGTATCTCCCTCAAAGCCACTTCAAGCTCTTTTGTACTATCTTTCTGACTTCTGGGTAGAGTGTCTCTTCTTGGGTGCCATGCTTGGTGGAGATAGAGGGATGGGAGAGAAACCCCCTCCTTTCTCACAAGTGAGATTCCTTCTCAGGGCCAGGTTCTTCCTCTATTGATGGCTCCTACCAGCCCTGCCTTAGAATGATGCTCAACCTATCTTTTTCAGTCACATCTTGTCAGTCAGTAAATGGTATGAATCTTCCCATTTCAGCAGAAAGCAAAGTGATTGCACTTTTTCAGGAGATCCTTGGGTGTTGTGAATACCTTGTTAATAGAGAAATACAGCTTAATCACTGATTTCTGTTCCCAGAAGGCAGGGGGAAACAAATCCTTCCATTCACTAATAATGACATTCTGTAGCAGCTCTTCTTCAGACCTTTTCTGAATCACAATATGATGAAAACCAGATAGGGGTAGATAGTCAAAGAGGCTTGGTTGTTTGTTTTTTGTGCAAAGGTTCCATTCTGGTTTTCCAACAGTCATCTTCAGGATGCCAGCCTTGGGGGGAGGGGTTTGGCTAAAAACACATGTTCAGGAAATGAGAACATTCAGTTATTGTAGAGTTCATTATTTGATGAGTGCAGGTTTTTTTTTTTTAATTCCCACTTGTCCCTGATGGAACTCATTTTCTGTTTTAGGCCATTCATTCAGCTCAATGAGATTTTCCTGAAGTTGACCCCTTTCAACTTATATTCTCTCTACATGGAAGAGCTCCTTGCTTATAAAGGCAGCTAGATTATGCTGTGGGGAAAAAACCCTCACTGGATTTGGAGTCAGGATTATCTGAGTTCCAGTGTGATCTCAGCCACTTATGAGCTGGGCAAGGTACTTAACTTCAGTTACTTCACGTATAAAATGGGAGTACTAATAGCACCTATCTCCTGGAGTTGTTGGGAAGGTAAAGTGAAATACTATTGGTAAAGCTTTGCAGACTTTAAGGTGTTGTATAAATCTGTTGTTGTTGTTATTGTAGGAGTCACTGTCCATTCACTCGTTCAGGTGCTTTATCAAAATTTAAAGACAACTGATCTCAGCATTGACACCCAAAAGATTCCAACACAAATACTTCTTCGTCATGAAAAAATTGCCTCTTCTTTGCTCTTTTCTGAATCTGATTCTCTTCCTAATGATGCACCTAATGGTGCTCCCACCTTAAACTGCAGGCTTGAGTAGGTGGGCAACGATTTCTGGTGAGGAGTTTGCTCTGTATTTTGCCTGAGGAGAGCACACA